CCAAAAGTTGTAAAAAATAGTATTTTGGTGTATGTACCGTATTTGTATTCATATACATGTAATAAAAAACGATTATTTCAATATTATAAACAGACACTCCAATTTTATTTATATGTATAGATAAACAAGCAACAATATTCTCAATCAACACTCGGCACTATTCAAAATAGCGTCACCCTAAACGTTACTGTAGTAACATGATACCTATTATGCTACAGAGCATTTATTTTTCTAACTGTCTTAGATTTTTTTATTAGATGATAATCAGTGGATGCAGCCGCGTGCACCTTAGACTGGCGGGGCACCCGTGGAAAATGATCGAATGAGCATAAAGTCAGGTCAGCCCACCGTGATAACTAGGAATTTATCGGGATGCTTTCCAGGGGGAACCGCGTAAATGTCAACCTGACATGATACGTTGCTAGCAATAGGGGTATCAATCCACATTACCAACACTCGCCTTTCTCCACTATTGTCTTATTTGAGATACTTAATAAGCTAATACGTAATTCTCACCATTCAATAGTAATAAGATTTGAAAACGGCTCAATAAGCACCTAATTTAGGAAAGGCTTTTATCGCATTACCGTCATTATCAAACGAATGGCTTCGTAAATACTAATATCGCTTGCCGATATTGTTACGTCAATAAATCACAATTAGGTAAGGCTCATCGCCTTCGCTGCGCTTTATATTTTCAGGAAAAATAATAGTCAAGTATCTTCAGATTATTTGGTGCGTAGATTTTTTTCTGTGACTGGAATAGGAATGGTTTCATGCTGTCGAGCATACCTGATGGTACCTAAGTGGTAACCGTCGCCTATGTACTTGAACAGCACCACGAGCCAAGATGTGCCACCATATCCTGTAAATTCACTTGCTGACCCCACCCTACAACTGAAACAACTTATAAAACAGGGTGGTGGTTGACTTATGTGAGACTGAAGCAAACGACTTTCTACAAAGTGTACTTCGGCTGATGCACATATGGTACCAATTTGGTATATACAATTCACCTTATCTATACTAATATTATAACAAGAGTTAAGAGAAAAGGGATGCTATAAAAAAAATAAAAATTTAAAAAGAGAAAATTCCCGCAGGTAGATATAACTACGGTGAATAACTTGTTGTACATACACCTAGTAACAGATTTGCTATATTCAGTAAATCTTGTAATCTCCAAATTTTAATTAAATTAATAAATATCTTCAGAATCATGCCTACAATTATTATAGCCTCACTTGTTTGGTGGTTGACAATAAACTCATGTTGAAAGTAATTTATTAATGAACAAGATCTTGACGTATTGTTCGTATCTTTCTATTGTAAAGTAAAAAAGTTGCCAAGAAACTATCTACTAAAACAAAACTTCAGCTTCCGTATGTAACGGTGAGCTAATGCGAGTTGTTCTCGTAATTCTTTGTTTGGGGCCTCGAGTATGTAGGTACGTAGCGTAGGGTGGGCGTCATCACTGTCGCACTAACTTGCAGTTACCACAGTTACGAGTCACAGTGACCATGACTCGGCACTGCCTTCTAATATGCTCCTGGTGTTCTGTAAAACTTTTGTTCTCAACTAGACGCTGCCTATGATTTGTTAAGATGTGCCAATGAGTAAATACACTGCATTTTTAATTGTACCTTATATGATTCTAAATTATGAAATACATAATATTTTAAAGTTATTCAAAAATCCTGCTATTTATATAGGAGCAGGACTATTAATATATTGCGTGTTATTTTAACAATATGCTATATTGTATAATAGATACGAGTCATTCCACGAGGAATCCTAACTGTATATATGTAGTTTCGACAGTTACATTTTTTAGAATTAATTGTTCGTTAAATACCTGTTACGAAATAATGCTGCAATTTAAAAAGTGAACACGATATTTATTTGAACACGAATCACAAGCAATCGTCCGTATAACGCTACGATAAATTGACAAATAGTCATTTTGTGTAGACACAAATTCAATATAGGTAGTTGCAGAAAAATAACACATTGTTATCAAAGAAAATATGTACGGAATGCTTGTTTATATATACCTGTCAGAGATACAAACATCTTTCATTGGGTACTCTGCAGTTCTTTTATTATCAAATATATTTAAGGAAAGGAAATGTGAAGAAAATTATGTTATTAAACTTTAATTTGCAAATAAATTCAAAGTATGCTTTACGACTTTTCTCATCAATTCGTGCTGTAGATAACATTTATATATCTTTCCTTTTATATTCTTACTGCGTTGTTTATAACTTTCGGTTGCACGTACCTATACCTACATAAATGGGTAACAGTTTCATTAAACATTTAACAATATTAAAGAAATTATATGAAAACGTTTACAGAAAGTACATCTAAAATATCTTACTTATTGTTTATGTTTTTAATTTAGATATTTAGACTTCTCTATCATTAATGGCTGAAGAAAATGACCTGTCTAGATTATTATTTAGAAGAACGATATATTTTATTCCGGTATTTCATAACTACATCACGTTCAAGCATAAATCCACTATTGATCTATTTTCACCACTTTACAATATCACCATGTTAATATTATTTAAGATGGATCACATTTAGATAATGTACAAACTGTATACTCTATCTTTAGATAGTATTTTTCATTGATATTCAATAATTCGCAATCATACTTCATAATTTGCAATTGACGATCCTACATCTATCTCTGATGTCATAACATCAGAGATAGATGTTGGATGCTGGCAATCATATCTCCTTCATATGGAGAAGGCGCAATCGTCGCTAGTTGAATTGAAATTAATGTTCTATTAGATGTATACCTACTTTCATACAAGACGAGAACGAATACGCCAAGTTACATACGTAGGAACAAATTGAAGACCATCGACTAGAAAATAAGTCTCCCAATCCACTTCTCAACAATACAAATTACACAAATTAGCCGGGTTTACCTTTCAATACTTTGAAGCATTTAAAATCATACTATAATAGGAAAATATATAGTACAAGGAAAAAAGGATCTTTTTTAAGTTGTTGAATTAAAAGTAATTCAATATAATTGGCTAAGCATAAATCTTTACCATATGTATGTATATGAGAAATATATTAACTGCCCAGGTGACTTGGTATAAGATTGTTTTTTGAGATTTCTTTTTATTTAGTTACGGATAAAAAATAATAAAAACTACAACTTGATGTACTATAACTAAATAGACAATGGCATTAATTTCAAAAATAAGCATTTTCGTGAATTACGCATATGGTTGGAACTTTAAATCAAGACCAAACTGCCGAAAACTCAAAGTTAAACGGTATAGGAAATGAGGCACCTTCCTCTGTAGTGCCCATGACGGCTCTTGATTATATCGGATTTGTAGGAAACGTGCGCTGAACCCATTCGGTAGGTGCCTACGTCGTCCACAAACGGGGGAAATTAAATCAATTAAAGCCACATTGAGAAACATAAATCGAAACTGAGAGCGCCTAAACCACTAACCTGGTTTAATGAGCTAGCTTAGACTGAAATGTTTTTAATTCAAACCTGGCCGTCAACAATAAAAATTTTAAAATATTTAATTTGTGCCTATTTCCCTAGTAAAGAAAACACCGATAACAAACCAAATGCTCAGCCCCTTTCATGTTAAATTTAAATATACCGAATGAAATGTAGGCACGATGTCGATAAATAGTAATGCCTCCGTTTATATGCGTAACTATTATGAATGTATATTATTAGAAATCTATACTAATGGTGTATATGCAAAGTGTCTCTATCGGATGTCTGTCTATTTATTATCTATTCCGGACAAATTTCTGAACGAATTTTAATTAAGATGTGATATTCACCAATGGGGACAGTCCTATCTTTAAAAACCAAATGAAGTAGCGGTAGTTTCATTTTAAAAATCGGATCACAAACGTCTTCATAACACTAAGTGTTGGTCGCTATGAATAAAAAATGATTTGTACCCTTTTCAATACAAACTAGACACAAAAAGTGATCAAGTAAGTGATGCATTTCATAATAAAACTGAGATTTTAAGAGTGTTATCAAATTATATAAATTATTAGTATCTACGATAACTTACTGCCTTATGAACCGTTATTTACAAATTATACTGCAATTTACATACAGATAATAACTATAACTGTAGGTAGATACTAGATTATATAATAATAAGGGTTATTCAGATTCTAAAATCAACTTGTGATACTTATTTGCCGCATACAAGAACAAGAAACATGTCTTGTAAGTGGATATTGTAACAAAATCTTCTGTTTTGTATAAGCAGTCGTAGAACATCAATCTTACAGTCTAAATAAAAATAAAGATATTCTCCCTCATAAATATAAATTGAAAATATCTCTTTGAATATAGAATAAATTGTGATAATATACCTGCGCAACTTAGACTCTAATTTCAGTGCCCCAATTTGACTACTCTGTACTATAACAGATCATAATGAAATTATTATTTGAATTATATAGAACATTCCAAAATATATTTTCTTTAATTGGATATTCTGCTTTATTTGTACAATAATAATAATACTAACATCTAACCACGACTTCAGCCCTCCGAACCTAATAGACTGAGATTTACATTTAAATATGAGTTAAATATTGTAAATTAATTAATGAATATTAATTACAAATATAGTAAAATATATTTAGATACTTTTTTACGGACTTTATAAAGTATAGTAGATACATAAAGTAATGATTCAGCACTACAACAGTCTTGTTTATAAATGAACCGTATGATCTATGTAGTTGTAGAGTTCGCTTTAATCATATCTGATTTTTCTATTTAATTAAAATAACAAACGTATGAACATCATTACGGATCTCGTTACAACATGTAACATCAATATGTTACATCCGCAACACCACTCATACGTTGTCATTTCAGAGGTCTAAGGTCATATCTTTTATCGTTTCATTGCAATTTCAAAATTGCGCATTCAAAATCTTGTATCATTTCAGTCCTTTGTATTTTATTGCAGTATATTGGAAGCGGAAGCAAAAGGTGCAATATATTTGACCACTAAAAATGGAACAATTCCAATAATGCTGACGTCCCTGAATGTCCGCACTGACAGCACACCGCAACATACTGCAAAAATTTTGTCTGCGGCCACTAAAAATCATTCTCAGAATGCTCGCAAACACCGCGACTATTGGGGTGACTCCGAGGAAATGTTGCTGTCCAATTACGTGAATTCGTCATATGAGAATGTTGATACATCTCGCTGGAGAAATAATAAAAGAAGCATAAACGACGTAGTCTCGAAAAACATTACGTTGGTACTAGAGAATCTTTTAAAGAACTATGAAAATTCTCAGCTACCCACTCATGGAAAAGGTAAGCCAATTAATAAAGGCATTGATTTAAGTATCCTTTTTATGATTTTATGTTAAAGCTAATAATAGTGTAATTAAAATAATGAAATTACAATTTTATTTCATGACCGTGAGATAAACTTAGAAATGTAACTTTTAAAAAGTCCTTCTTTCAGACACCTTTCTTTGTTTTAGGATATCCAACTGTTGTACAAACAAACATATTGATAAGAAGTATGGGTCCGGTATCTGAACTTGATATGGTGAGTTATGACGTAACAAAGTTTGTATTTTATAGATTCTTGTATGAATCTAATAAAAAAATATCATTATTATAATATACAATTAATAACGTAATACAAAGGGATAACACCTATCAACTAATAATGACGCCGTATTTAAGAGTTTTAATGTAACTAATACAAAATATATTAGAACTATAAAAGCAAGTACTGTCGTTATCAATACAATTCTTTCTTTGTGCATAAATAAAAAATAATAGTAGTAGCATATTGTTATTTCTTTTTTTACGAGTATAACACTTTATGAGTGTTTACCAGTAATTTTACTTGTATATTTCAATTTTATTTTACTACTATTCTATCAGTACTTAACTTTCGTCCTCAGGATTATTCAATGGATTGCTACTTCAGACAGTATTGGCGCGACACACGCCTGTCATTCCTCGGTCCCATACGCTCCTTGTCCCTCTCGATTAAGATGCTTGAAAGAATATGGCGGCCCGACACTTACTTCTACAACGGCAAACATTCTTACGTACATACTATCACAGTTCCCAACAAGCTCTTGCGGATTAGTCAACATGGCGACATTTTGTATTCAATGAGGTGAGTTTTATATTTTATAGTATCTAGTGGATTATATTCGACTGGAAATTGTACCTTATTATAAAATTTAAATGGTATATAATTTGGTGGCAAGTGGTAACCGTGACCTATAGGCCCATGACCAAAACCTACGAACATCACGTTATCATGTAACACCCATGTTACCCGAGATGTGTTGCTATTCCAGAGAACTCAAATGTCATGAATGAATTGTACTGTAAATTAAAAACAAATATGATCCAGTAATAAACGAATTAATTAAAATTTAATAAAAAATAATAATTAAATTTTATAGTCTGTGAACCAACACAGCTTCTAACATAGCGTTTAACACAGCGTAAACCATTTTTAATTGGCAGAGTGAAAAATACCCGCGCTCCGATTACCCGTCGAGTTATTCATGGGACGTAAATTACTATGGATATTCTTAATTTAAGAGTGGAAATACTTGTACAATAAAAAATTGTTAGCATTCATCACGATTACAGGTTATTTCATAGTGCAGTTATTTCAAGGTACAAAATAAAAGTAAATAGATACCTACAGTAACATAATAATTAGTTCTTCAGCTGAATTTCTTAGTCATATTTTATTCTTCATCTTAATAATTTATAAAACATTATTTTCGGTGATTATTATTATTATCTACATCTGGTGGATCTAGTATATACTCAATATATGTATATAAGACCATTGATATAATATCAGTCAATATGTAACGATTTCTCGGGGATTAATACAAATAACTCCATTGCCATTAACCATTCATTATTATGATACCATATCAGCCATGTGGTATCATGTCAGCTTGACTTCCACGCCGTTCCATTTGAGAGTTATTAGTTGTAGTTAGTAGTTGTACCTATGTTTCGTAATTGTAACTGTAATACCTATAGTAAATATATAAACTCGAGCTCATACAACATTATAAATTTAAATCTGCTTGATGTAAGAATTGTTAAATACTAATAACATTGATGATGGTTTTAAAATAATTTTAAAAATTGGAGTGTCTGTAATATTCATAAACACTAAAGAAACTTATCCTAAATTTAGTAATGACATATTGTAATTTAAATAATGTAAATTAAATATTGTAATGGGTGAAAACTGTGATTGGTACAGTTTATGCTGTAAATAATATAAATGACGTAGTGGAGTAACTTGAAACAGTCATGCTCGCTATAAAGTTCAAACTTGTGGCGGCGTGGTGGGCCAGGTCGATGTGCTCCCTCTAATATGGTTGAGTGCAATGATGGCTGGCTCATCCGTCATACTCGTGTACGGGTGCTGCTTGTGGGGACTGGTCTGTTCAGGTTGCGAACACTGATTAGAGTTTTTGATTTTTTTTTTATAGCATATGCTGGTGGTCACTCTATTCTCCCAAATTTGAATTTAAATGAAATAGTATTACTGTAAATATGTACAACATTAAAAAAAAAATACGAGCTGAGTTTCTTGTCAGTTCTTCTCATCTCGAAATCATTCCGAACTGACGGTAGATTTGACATATCATAAGAGTCTGTAATAGACCTACATGAATAAAGATATTTTGAATTTGAATTCAAATGACCGTTTTTTACTACATGCATATGAATATAAATATGGTATAACATTTTTTACAATTTTTGTCTGTCTGTTTGGTACGGTTAATCTCTGAAATGATTGGACGGATTTTCTCGGAACTTTTTTCGACAGCTAGCTGATGTAATAAGGAGTAACTTAGGCTACTTTATTAATTTATTAATGATGAAGTCCAAGGGATCTTCATACATTTTAATATACTTACATACAAATTATTACTAACAGCGGTACGTTATTATTTTAGTCCCTGGTATTTAGTTTCTAGTACAATTGAGTTTGTATCAGTATCAATAAACTGGGCATTCAATGCCTAGCCTAGTCAGCTGTTAATCGGTTTAGTGGACGATCGGCCGCCTCTGATGCTAAATTCAGTAAACAGAATTGGAAATGGCATGCCTTTTAGCTAATCCGCTCTATTGTTGCAATGAACACAGATTTCATATGCCGTAATATGGGTCTGTAACGTTATGCAGACAAAATAAGTAATTCAATTTGCATTTGAAATTTTAAGTCATTCAATAGGTATGTTTTTTAAATAAATATACAATTCTTACCTATTATACGAAAATATGTCTTTCTGGTCGTTGTTTTTTGAGCTACAGCTAAAAAGAGTTTAATGAAATTTGTCATTTGGCAAGATAGATTACCTATATTTATATTACAAGGCTACCTTTTATTCCAAGAAATGCAGACAAAGTTACTGGTACCGACACTACTTACAATTTAAAAATAATATACTCGTTTCTTCGCACTACATGCCCATACAAAGATAATCGATTACATAGCAAATATGCAGTTTTATAAAATTGTTGACTATTTCACGTAAAGCTCAACATTTTCATGACACGTTTATTTACGTTTATTTATCATTGAGAGATAATGTTAGATTATATGTAAGATTAAATGATGTAAGATTATAATAAATACTTATCTCCGATCGATACGCAGTCTCATACAATGGCCTGAGCAGAGTTACGAACCTCTAGGTATACCCTCGGACTATACCTAGTCGTAAGCTTCAGGCAGGAATTGAATTCAGCCGCTCCGTAAGCAGCTCCTTCCGCAGATTTGGAAAGTCCTCTGCATTCGCTCCCATTTTTATGTAAAAAGGTTATTACAGCCAACAATATTAGAATAGTTTACCATGCTCAGTTTAAAATGCCGGTACCAAAGTACAATATTAAAACATAAAATTTCAATATCTACAAAAGCATCTAAAAATAGGACAGTCTGTTGTTTAGACAAGTTACAAAACTTTGGTACATTTAGTGATTATACAAAATGATACCTAATTATGTATTTATGCATCCATACTAATATTGTAAATCCAATAGTATGTCCATACGTCTGTTTGTTACTAAGTATTTTACGATTAAACGCCCGAAAGGGTTATAATTAAAGATATGTAAATAAATATATATAGTTATTATTTTTATTTGCAATATCTGTATGTAATTATGGAATAACTATACTATAATATGCTCAGTGTAGGATATTTTATTGCAATCGTTAACATGTTGTTAACGTTATATTACAAAAATCTCACTGATTACAATAAAATATCCTACACTGAGCATATTATAGTAAATTGATTAATACAATCAATAATAATATTTTTTTTTGCAGACTAACAATTAAAGCCAAATGTCCTATGGAGCTACGAAATTTTCCAATGGATCGTCAGTCGTGTCCACTTATTCTTGGTAGCTGTAAGTAATGCATGTTTCTTGTATAGACCATTTCAATTTCAACAGACTTTACATAACAGTAAGTTTTAAACTGTAAAATAAACATCCGAAAAGCGTATTTTTTTCTGTCAGGCACTAATCAAAAATAATAGGATGAAGATGAAGTCAGTTAGTAAGTCCATCGTGACGAATCCACAAGAAATTGATCACGATTATTTCCAGGGGAAAGCGCACGAAGATCGACTTGATCGCATATATTGCTAGAAATAGGGCCACTATCTCCCATTTATCCCGTCCCAACTATTGTATAAACCAGAAACATATTACCCAACAAAAAAAAATTCTCTTATCTATGGTAGGTGTAGGTAAACTAAGCCTCATAGTACTAGGCGAAATCAGTATTTCATTAATATCTGTTTAGCTGTGAAATGTACCCCAAAGGATACATTTCACGGCTAAACAGATATTAATGAAAATTAACATGAAGATATATTTTACGGGGACCGACATAGATTATCTTTTGTCTAAGAAATAAATCTGGAAGGAGGTGAAATATTAGTTGAAAGTTACATTCTAAATAAAATACGTAATATATAACTATTATATAACTAACTTGTATATATAACTCAACAGATGCATACTCAAACCAACAGCTGGTGTACCAGTGGCAAAATTCCGAAAGCGTCAACTTTGTACCTGGTATGACTCTATCCCAGTTCGATCTCATCAGTTTTCCCTACCGGAACTTTACATTCACAAGAAGGGAAGGTAAGAAATACTTATAATTTCGTACTTAATAAATGTTAGAATTAATTCAAAATGACTTTCGTTGATGACGTACTTAAGAGGATCCATAAAACAATTATTTTATAATTCATCTCACGAAAGAAATCTATAAATAACTTATGAATATTGACGACTTGATAAAAGTTAATTTTGTATTCTTAATAAGTATATATTTAATTTAAGTTTAAGTAATTGAGGTGGATTAGACTAACACTGTGTGACTATGAAAGCGCTTATGTGTTCTTTTCTATGCCTTCCCAGCTTCTCTTCAGAGGAGTACCTAAACATTCTAAAAGACGGAAGAGAGCATTCCTTGAATGCTCCTGGCTAAGTATTATAGGTACAACCGGGAATAATTTTATACATCCCTGCATTTATTTCATCTGCGAGTATGATATATTCAGATGCAACATTCTTTGTAGAGTATCGGAAAAAATGAAATTGACAGTCAGACAGATACAATGTGACATATCGTTTAGTCAAAAAGTAATTAAAATATCTATAAATATTTGTACCCAGTCCTATAAATAATAGGACACAAGAAAGTGGAAGATAACTGCATTTTAACTGGCTGGTTTAGTTTGTTCGCAAATGTTAACACATGAAACCTCTTTTAATGCATAATAGTTGTAAAATGGTTTGTAATAAATCATAAAGAATGTGGAATTTATTTTTATAGACTTTTTTACTGTAATGCATATGTGTGATTATTTTTTCTTTTACTCCCTATATAATATTATAATATGTGTGATTACACTCTATCTGCACAAGACTTAAAAGTATTTTTTATTAAAAAAAGAATATTACACATGAGTTTACTTTTACATTCATAAGACAAGTGACAATATTGACAATATAGTCGCTACATAGTTGTATATCTAATCGACGTAATTAGAAAGAAGTTGTATTCATTAAGAAGGGAGAATATTTGACGCAAACAAAAGTTACCTCGGTTATTACTCGGCCTATACAAACAGAAACATATTTTCTCTCACACAATTTCCTGTGATTTGTTATATTCTCAAAGTGCTATTTATTTTACTGACACATTAATTGTGTGCCAGATGTTGAAAATAATGGACAATTTATATTATATCCCGCCTAAACATTTGACCCCAATTATATTAAATGTTTTAGACCAGAAGTGACCATGGCATTACCGATCACTTTAGAAACTAAAAATAAGATTTTTAATTTATTAACGTATTTATTTCAACAATTCTATAATTAATACTTACTTTCAATGATGCTTTAAAAATGTATATGTATATCAACATCTAAACATTATATCTATGAACTTAACTTAGACTTGAAAGTGAAAAGTTATTTTGCACAACCTAAATTATAAGTCCTAATAATTATTGAATCCTCTAAGTGTGCAATACGTTTTCATTTATTTCGATAAAATGCTAAATAGCGTAATAAATTATTACGTTACCGACCATTAATAAATAAACATTTTAATAAGAGAGAAAACTTGAAAATTTTGTTGATGCTATCAATATTGGAAGCAACGAGCGAAAAAGCCCTCAAGCCGATCTCCCACAGCCTCTCATAACAGCTTTTATCTCGACTAATCACGACCCTGCAGTGCCGACTTTATCCGCTTACCGTTTAATATAATTTCACACACGTGGATTCAGATATGGAAAACAGACCACCTCAATATGTATTATAGTAAACTATTGTAGACAACTATTATAGTAAACCTATGTCTGCTACACGTGAATAGGAAGGAAGTCTCAGCGGATATAATTACATTTCATTTGTATCTATCTATATAATAATATGTGAAATACTACTTGTAGTATTTCACATAAATAGTAAATACTAAATAGTACTTGAATCTTCTAAAAGATCTATGAAGATTTAAGAGAACCTAAAGCTTTAAAAATCACCTAATTAGTGTCTATAATAAATAAATAATACAAGTAGAATATAACTTCATGACTTTAATCCCAGATGTTCTAATTTCAATTAAATTCAGAAGTTTTTTCAATTGTCGAGGTCATAGTGTAAACAATGTGGTAAAAGGCAAACTTACCGCCGTCTGACGTCAGAATAGTTAATCGGTGTCTCCAACACAAAAGAATCAAACCAAAACTTGTCTGTCAGTTTGTCGGCTAGATTTCAACTCATGACCTGACAGACTAGGTCGGGGTAGTAAACCACTAGACTACGACGCTCCCGAATTTAAATAATATTACACACCTCCATACTAAGTGGTATTCGCATACTTATTACGTCAATCACCTACTGTGTTTATCTCAAATTGCCCTCCAAAGTACACGCCAAGTGCTTTTCTGCAATAATATGATTTGCTTTTTTCGTGTCAGAAGCAAATATAAAATAATATCGAGCAAACGCCAACGTTCTACGGCGACGACAACACGAATCGGCTTTTACGCCTCGAGGCATCCACTCGTACATTTACTGAAATGTCTGGAGGTGTGTGACGTCATTGATTACGTTAGATAGACCCTTTATTTACAATATTTACATACCTATATACTATTTAATGGTTTCATGAGAGAGCAATATAGAGTCGAGGATCATGTGTCAAAGTTGAATACATATCCATGTCATTTTCGAGAACAGTGTAAGCAGTAATAAAATATTTGATACCGCAATACAGGAGACTTCTCAGTTCTACAAGTGTCCTTCAATCTTCAACGACACACGGGCTATTTCCTCATTCAAGTGTACGTGCCATGCATCCTTATCGTCGTTCTCTCCTGGGTGTCTTTCTGGATACACCGTGAGGTAAATACGTAAAAATGTTCATTATGTTTATATTATTACATTATATTATCACATGTTCACGTTTCTTTTTGTTTTAGGCTACGTCAGATCGCGTGGGTTTGGGAATTACTACAGTTTTAACATTGTCTACGATTAGCTTAGATTCTAGAACAGATCTCCCTAAAGTCCGCTACGCCACCGCTTTAGATTGGTTCCTTCTAATGAGCTTCTTCTATTGTATCGCAACGCTACTAGAATTTGCTGGAGTTCATTATTTTACAAAGGTAAATATCTGATATTAACATTGAGTGGGACACCCATTTTAACGAAGGGCCGTCCAATCATTTTAGATACCTATATTTTATTAAAACGTGATACCCTATAGTAATTCTTTCTATAGATTATAATATAACGTAACCCCTGTATAGTGTTCACTTATTTGTTATTTATGTCTTCTTGTATGTAAGTTGTTATCGACGTTTCTCCAAACTAGAGATTATAATGATAACGTAACCCCTGTAATAATAGAAGATCCTATAAAGCTAAAACTACCGTGTGTTTCCTATACACTAATTTAATTGTAAAGGTTAGAATCTACACAACTCAGTTCCGAAAACTGAATTATAAAAGTATCTAGATTGCAAATATAATTGTACACTGCTTAGATATCACGGTTAACCATACGTACAGATTTTTGATGGACACCATTCATCAATACACAATACAATGCTTGATCAATACACGTTAATATAACGACCCAGCCAACGGACCTGTAATCCTCTAAACAGACGCGACCTTTTAAATCCTCCTTTAACAAGGGAGTCGTATTTATAATTAGACAAACGAGATTACGGGTAGAAGCTAGTTGAGAGTATTACGTATAGAAAAACCGACTGTTCTTTCAGAATGTGCCCAAAATTTGCCTAAAGATTAATACCGCTTTGTACGAAAACTTTTTTTCTGGTAGGCTGCCTTTATATTTGTTACCACATCACATGAGAACGGTTAGACAGATTCAATTATAATACTCTTATATAACCACTATTCAAAATTTAATACTCCGGAACTGTATGACATGCACAGGTCTTTAACAAAAACAGGAGAACTGATGTAATTTTTCCTATAGGTATGTGAAAGAAAACTACTTGGCCATGAATAGGTAGAATGTCTAACTGACACAATTTGTGTAGTTACATTTGGAGCTCGTTATTGCTAGGGGTGTTATTATGACAACGGGAATATGTCTAGTATATTAGTTGTAAATCTGTTGAATGTGACTTGATTGGCAAACCAGCTTACGTGATGAGGTAACCATTAGTTACATATATACTCGCGTTTTATCAGATCATTAGTTGGGGAAAAAATATTGTTACCTATCAGTTAAATATTTCACGAAGTTTAATTTATTTTATATGTCCACTTTGAAACAGGTCGGTTCGGGTGAAATTGTAATAGACGACTCTGAATGGGAGGAACTAATAGAAGAAGTAGGCGGAGATGCTTTCGCAGCGAGACAACTGGCAGTTCGCAGACGTAGCTCTGTTCGCTCCGCCGCTAATTACGTTAGTATTTTGTAGATACCTACCTAATAACTATAATAAGTAGTTTAACCTATTTTCTAATATAATATGTGAGTATCCGCCAGCACACACCATAGCGGAGGCGGAATAATTTCCCGTCTTTTATAAAAAAAAATCTAGGTAACAGTAGGTACTTTAAAAAATGCAAAACTGAAGCGATTTGCACATAAACCGATCCATATGGTAAGTCTGCGTACCCGAATAGAAGACAGATGTTCATGTATACTATATAGATACCTACCTAATACCTATGTATTTATTATACTAATCATATGTAGAACAGAATCAACTTAAAAAAACAACCTAAGAATGACCAAGAAACTTGCCTGGTGCTATCTTTAATTCCAAATATCGTTCAACTTTACACTTAAGATTTTACGCAAATATATTCACTATATAGCACCATGTAGAATATATTCAATATATAAATATAACACGAGAGTAAAATAGGTTGATAAATATTTAGTTATACATAACCGGTTGCGTCCATCCTGACATGATAATACCTCTTACCACTCCACCCAGGATAACAGTCGTACCGTACCTAATAACTATAATAAGTAGTTTAACCTATTTTCTAATATAATATGTGAGTATCCGCCAGCACACACCATAGCGAAATAATTTACTTACGTTATCCTGGATGGATCCATATGGTAAGTGGTGTCAGGATGGATTCAACCGCGACACTGGACATGCTCACATTTCGCTAGGTATATCTATAGCAGCATTATTCATAAGTGTGAAGGATATTTCACTTTATATAAATAAACAGTACTTCTTTTTCAGAGTTTCACAGTCCCACCCACCAGCAACAACTGCCCAGAGGACAATACCAGTCAGGATGCACCTGAACAACCCTGCGCTGTACGATTGACAATGGAACGGACAACTCAAACTGAGACCCGAGTGCCGCGGTGGAGGCAACTGCTATACTGTTTAGCTGGAGACGACCGATACAGACGACAGAGGCAAGTCGAAGCTGGTGAGATAATCTATCTAAAATATTTAAAAAACCATTACATATATGTTTAATAATTGTTGGGGTTTCTAAACAACCCTTTCGTTCTTGGAAAGCAGGCGTCCTCATAATTCATATTGAATTATATAATCCATAATCCTTCCTATAACATAAAATTATATTCATCAATACATTCATTAATATATTTTTATATCCAATGATATAAAATATATCAATATGCATTTTGTCGTCTATTATTTTTACGGTAAATGATACGGTTTAACGTAGTTTTAGTAATGAAAATATTATAATTACTATGATTACTACCATAATATTTATTCGTCGTCCTTTTTAATAAAAGTAAAACAACTTCACATTTTTTCTCCAATATCACACGTAATCGCATTCCATCTCACACCATAATGTTACTAACATTCTATTTTTCATACAAATAGAGATTATTTCTTTATTTTATTTATGTTATTTTTCAGGAAACCGTGGTCACATAAACAGCGTGTCACACATTGATAGAGCTGCACGTGTCATGTTTCCAGCTTCATTTGCACTCCTGAATCTTTTCTACTGGATGGTATACGCTTTCTCCAACGACGATTTTGCCTGGAGCGACAACCCTATAAACACCCTCTCGCATTGAAAGTCATTTGAGTAAATATATTATACTTCGTTTCGACAAATAAGTACTAGTTAATTATTTTGTTGAATATATTAGATATTAATACGGGTATATTACTGTTATCAAATAATTTTACCTATAAATGTAACGTTTAGTTAAATCAGAGATTACATAATTGGTTAAATATAACTGTATGTACAATATAGGTGGTACGAGGTAAGTGTGTACTTATTGTTATTGTTTAGAAATATACCTCATATATATGGATATTATTTATTATTTAATAAATTATGAATATGTTGGATTATATCTATTTATTTTCCTTATAATAACAGGCTCATATCCCAGAAGCTATAAAAAATGTAATTAATAATAAAATAATCTCAGGGCAATTCACACAGCGCCATCTAGACCCAAGTTAATCCAGCTAAAGCTTCTGGTATGGGTGTTAGATAACTGTTACAAATACATAGACATCGTCAATACATACATGTTATACCCAAAAACTCACATAGTAATTAAATAGTATTGCAATTTAAATTAAGGACAAGGAAATATAAAATTAAACGAACAATCAGGTAAGACATTTTATATTTTCACAGTTGAAGTTATCAAGAACTAAAGCGAGGAAAAGTCGTTTGAGCGAGTAACATTAAATTACCAGTATATGAACAGGATGAATGTAGGTATATAAAACAGGAAGTATACAAGATGGCAGCCTCGGTTAACATTTTTATCATGGCTCATATTGATCCCAAAGCACACGATTATACAACGTATGAAACTAACTGACGGTAATTGACCCTTAAACCAATAATAATAAGGTTCAATACATATATCTATTACATTTACTTAATACTTAATTAGGAATGGATACACACACGACACATGCAAAGCTACCTGAATATTAAAAATTTTGCCGCCATATGTTATGCACTTTTATTAGGTATTACTGTCTTTCTGTGTATCTAGATTAAATTTATTCTGTCCAACATAATTCCTTGCAGAAAACATAAACGCCGAGAAACATTTAATTTCAATAGAAAATTCGTATTATATAAATTTTAAAATACTTAAAGTAGTTTTTTAAACTGTAAGATTTTTAAGTAGTGACAGCTCGATTTTTATAAAAGCTATCTCTCCATTACCTACGGCCTGCAGAATAAATATATTCGTAGATATATATAAACACAAAAAGACAGAGACACCTAAATCTAATATATAGTAAGAAAAACAACATCTACTTATAATATTACTAGTACCATTACAGTAAGCATTCGCAAAATTCATAGAAAAACACGTGTGCTTTGGTATAACTAATGAATTAAAGTAACAAAGGAGTCAAAACGTGTCATATTCTAATCATACCTTCAGGCTGTACCACAAGGATACAACAGATACAAATAGGAAGTAAAAAAATATATGATTAATTTAATAGGTATTCTAGAAAATATACTTGTACACAGAAATCCTACATAGGTTTATAAAAGATAGTTTTGAAATCTACTGAGGCACGAGTTGTGATTTTTGTAACACATATAAAGAAAATATTTAATTAGTACGCGGAGTCACAAATATAATATTCTTCGTTGCATTTGATACTTTTTACTTAAAAACAATGATAATTATATATTTATATATGTATACTTTATTAATTAGACAGATTGATGCTTATATTATTCGCGTTGTAGGATGGACTCTAGTCTAAAGTCCAAGAAGGCGCGGCGGCGGCCGAAACGTAAAAGCATATTTCCCGAGTGATGTACCTATCCAAAAAAATCAATTAAGCAATATAGTTTCTTACATATTAACATTTATTGTATCCTCGTATAATGGCACCACATTAAATAAACCTGAATATTGATGTCATATCACTAGGATAAGTAAAGTTGTATATTAAATAGAATTTCCGTACGCTATTACAGTTATCTGAGTCTGGTCTATTTGTAAAGACCTGATAATATAAAATAGTTCCCTTATAATAATATGTACCTATGATCAATGACGTATATTCTGTCTATTTGTCGCAGGTTTTTACCTTAGAAATCATTTGACATATAAACTTAAAATTTAAGCATATCATCATGACATACTTACGATACATTAATTTACCAGACACTAAAAAAATTCGACCATCTTACGTTTTGAAATTTGAAAATTCTTACATTGAATTACAAATTTTAATTGAATTATCGCATTTCATAATAGTTGATTTCAATGGTCAAACTTATTTTACAGCCGTGAAAAATTGTAAATATATTATAATTTTTTATTAATCTCTTTCTTTTTATCTATCCCCTATATCTGTTTTATATCTATAATTCGTATTAGGTATTTTTTTATACCCACATTTCTCGTATTTTATGGTACCTACATAGCCCTTTATGTACAATATGGACTCGTACAACGTTTTTTTTTTTTAAATATAATTCAGTCTACCAATTCGTTACATAAATAAAATTTTAATCACGAAAATTTAAATTTCATTAAGTTTCTTAAACTCAATAATTGATCCTGACGACATTATTGACAAAATTAAATAATTGGAACTCTTTTTTAATAATACCTAGGTACATATTTGTACAGAGTTTGTATATTATCACAAGTATATAAGTAGCAAATATACAAAAGTAGTTGAAAGGCTATAAGAATCAATCGAAGTGAAGCGATAATATTCATGAAACTGAACATGTTATAAGACAATTATATTTATTTAAATCATTAAAAATAATTCCTTTAGGTATCTAATGTTTTTGTTAATATTTATTAGGAAATATGTTATTTTGCAACTATGTAAGTCGGTTGTATATCATTTAAGCAGAAGAAAGCAAGTGATACAGCATCAATATGCGACCCATAGCTGTTGGCCCATCTTGAAGAGCAGCTTTACAATATTTTATAGACTTTTTCCTTTATTTTAAAGATGGAGTGACACTAAAATGACAAAGAGTAAATATGAGAAATTACAGAAAACTATTTGTTTTATAAATATATATAAATAAAATTATATAGCTCTATAGCTATATAATTTTATTTCCACATTTACTCGTGTTTAGTCCCAACTTTATGTACGAAGTAGAAGGTTACCCTTCTACTTCGTACATAAAGTTGGGACGTACGTACGTACTTAAAATAAACAAGATTTATTTGCTTGGTGTAAGTTCACCTTTAAGATTGTCAATAATTATATTACGACTATCCACAACTTATCGTCTGTATTATATCTATAATTACTGTGGGAGTTTTATAAAATCCTTATTTAGTGGATGAATGTAATAAAATGTTGACATATTGGTTAGCAGAATTTAAGATAAATATTAATTGTTGTTACAACCTTCGAATTGATATTTTTTAGACGTTCAGGATCATGAATACCTACCGCGGGATTAGACTTATTACAACCTTTCCGTTACACGTCATATAATAAGAATTTATTTCACAAGAGATAAATTTCAGAGAGCTAGTTTATGCTTATGCAGTCATGTTCCTGTTTGGTCCAACATTCTGTAAAATACTAATTTATTATATTTTTGTTCATTTAAAAATTGCGTATCTCTTAAATTCATCATCTAAAAGTAGAAAATACACTTTTTTTATTGAAGGCATGTTTAAATACAAATGGAATGTATAGTATAAGGCTTTCATCATAAGTTTGAAGATCACCGCTAAATGTAAGTCAATAAATATCTTTTGGGAAAGTTTAAATTCACAGAATAATTTAGAATATACAGTTTGGACATAGAATAGTTAGTAAAAATAGTCAACTTTAGTCTAAATGCAAGACATACATCAATTGTTAGCTGCTACAACAAATAATAAAAAAAACAATTACAGGATATAACATTACCTATCTATTATTTATATGTAGTCAATTGGATTCATCCTAATTTTAAAAGGTCTTGGCAATTTATTCCATTGTTAGTATTACTCCTATTGTAAATAGATTGAATAGTAAGTTTTTAATAAATGTCAAGGAATGCTCAAAAATACTCTATTGAAAAAGTGACATCAGTACCAAGACCCTATTATTACCGTTATCAGGTGTCACTTTTTAAACTTATTATAATTAATATATATAAGTAAATATTATTATTATTATATAATATGAATTAAATACATGAGATATTGAAATATTGTCAATGAAGAATCGAGAATTAAAGTTACATTACAAATTAAAATATGTTTTTCTAGAGGAGCTTTGTGCATTAAATTCTAGAAGAAATCTAAATTTTATTATCATTTGATAAATATATTTTTTTTCTTTTAAACACCAAAGGCCTAGTTATATTTAAAATAGAATTATATTTTCATACATTGTTAAACTACGCACCTCTAATATGAACAACTGCAATTCAGTTTCACACGAACATTAAGGGTCTTAGTTTTCAAATATACAAATACAACACATTGTATGTATTATATAAATATTAAGTTCACTCTACTTACTACATACTATTAGTACCATTTATTTCGTTTAATATAATGGCATTCTAATACAATCAAATATAAAACAATATTTACTATCGCCCGATTTGGGTATTTTCTAGTATAATATTTTATTTACAAAACACAAATATTGTCTATTATAACAAAGTAGATATACCTACTCGAAACGAACAATATAAAACGGGGACGATCCATTGTTTAAATTTTCTATTATTATATTTCCTGTGAAGTATTAAGTAAACATAGTACTTCGCTCTCCTACTATTTGTAGATTAAATGATCTAATCTCTATGCACAAAGATCGTGGATATCCCATCTTTGTACAATAAAGAGGACCACCCCACGGAACATTTCTTTTGGGACTAGAATTCTGGTCACAGATTTTTCATTCTTTACCACTATAGGCAAGTATTTTTAGCACTTTATATATAATTATACAATAAATACAATCATATTTTAATAAAATACCATAATCACACACATAACACATACTGCATCTATGCAGAAACTTAAACTAAATAATAATAAATTACAGGACTCGAGAGTATTTCTGTGGCTTATACAGTTTTACATATATCACTGCACACAATAAATAAGGAATTCTCATATTTAAACATTATCAATATATAGAATATATTAATTAAATCACAGATTCTACGTTCAATATTATTTAAAAAATTTAACTAGGGTCCTTTTTGCATACTACAAGATATACATTCATGTTGTCTTTGCCTTTGACATAGACACTACCACGCGGCTCAAATTCGTACATATTGGACAGAACTGGTATACAGGCCGCTCCGACCTGAATTCGTTTAATCACACCAGTGGAATCCATTCTGGAAGCAATGTTGACAGCATCGCCCCATATATCATAATATAATTTAGTAGTTCCTATCACACCCGCTGTTACATCGCCAAAATTGTACCCGATTCTCAATATAAAATCGAATTCGAGAAGGTCCTGATTAAAATTATCTACCACTTTTTGCATCTCCAAAGCAAAGTCCATCAACTGATATAAATGTTCATTCGTATCGCGAGACGCATGTCTTAGATCAGGGTTAAGCCCGCTAGCAGCCATGAAAGTGCTACCTATAGTTTTAATTTTTTCGACGTGCTGAAATTCGGGCCTCTCTAGTAATTCATCAAAATCAGCTATCAACTCATTTAGTACCCTTAAATACTCCTTCCCTTTCAAATAAGATTCGTCATACATTTCGTTGAAATTAACTATACTGGCAAAGATAATACCTACATCTTTGTGATTTTCCGAATATTTAGCTGTATTTTTTAATTGATCAGCCACATGCCTAGGTATAATATTATGTAATAACCAATCGGCCTGGTTTCTCATGTTCTGAACTCTCTGCTTATCCCGATTAGCGACGACATTGCTATAGAAGCTTAACCTATAACTTATCTCGAACTCTCTGTTCAGAAACCACACTAACATTAACAGTAGTGCCACATCTATGTAAAGTTCTGTCAAATGCAACATGTGATACACTGCCTCCTCTGCACGGGTACCATTTACATTTTCTAATAAATCATTCACATTTGTTATATTATCTAGAAATTCTGACGTAAAATTATGAGCTAATAATTGCGGATTTATAATGTTACGATTTATAGTTTGAGTATTTGCTTCGCGACAACCGAGCAAAGCGAGAAAAAGGAATAGTGCAGCATACAACGTCACCAGTGTATTTTTCACGAGCCAGCACATTTGAGTAAAATTAACAAAATGTACAATACTTACGCATAAAAGGTAGACATAGAATGACTGTTCGCCTTTTAAAATCACCATTGTGGAATTTACGCAAGAGAAGTTTGTAAGAACAGCTAAAATTGGCAAACTAATTAGCAAACTGCCACACAAATGCCAAGGATACCAATTAGAGCACTTTCTAAATATTGTCACGAAACGTTTCATAGTACTTGTCATTTGAAGAGGATTTGTCTTAGTTTTCCATTTAAGATAGTGCCTATAAACACACAATGACATGGCTAAAACTTCGATCAGAACCAAGAACTCGAAGGAGATAATAGAATACCTCCATTCTCTGTACAATATAAATACGGAAGTTGTCACAGCTAAAAAAATAATGGCAGAAACTAAAATATCTAAAGCTGTGTTGAATCTTGAAGTTGTTAGGGTTGGTGGAAAGTCCTCACAGTCATCGCTTCTGTGCGCTTTGTCCCTATAATGTTTCTCCATATCACTCGCTTTGAAAAACAAAGTGAATCTATTTAGTGGGGGTTGTACAAAGTAATTGATTCCTGACCTCGCGTTGTCTTGCACGCAGCGAATCAACTGTAAATCAGATTGCTTCCGTAGTTTCTGTAGAGATTGTACTTGTTGCTCGTTGAGCGGCGGTGGCAGGCGACATCTCGATGAAATTTCATTGAGTGACGACTGACTGGAGGTGTAGTAGCCGGATACACGATGCGCCATCATATCAGCTTGAGAAGTAGCGATTGCGGCATGATTCAATGCAAAAATCTGAAATTAAAATAACATATTATTAAAATGATGACACTGTTAAAGAGTTTATTAAATGTACATTGAAGATCATAAAAAATAACAATTTTTTTTTCGAAAAAAAAAAAAATTTTTGAAATATAATATATATAAATAGGCTGTAATAGGCATAAGAATATAAAACATTATCAAAACTAAACTAAAACGACTATCTCCAAGAAAATAATTAATATTTCAACCTTTAGTCCATAGGAAAAATTCGTTCTCGAATATTATCACTGAATTCTGGGTTGTTATATCTTTTCTGTTACACTTCATATAAATATAATATATTATACACATGTATGTTTTTTAATACTTTAGCATTTATTATTTATGATCGGTCATAAATCACTACGACGGTGCTCAACTATCTGACCTGCTTAAACTAGTATTATCAAGTATAAAAGGAACTGTGTCTACCTACATTGTTTAATAGATAACATAAAATTTATTTACATATGTATACATTGGTAATAATTACCTACACTACAATACTTCCACTTTCTTAATAGTGGTGTACATAAAGTTGGTGGCCTACCTAATGATATATTATATTTTACAAAACATTACAAAATACATTTACGGCAGAGGACTAATCCAAATACTAAAACTGGGACGGCCGGTGGGGTGGAGGACGCTCCTCTTAAAACTAAAAACCAGTACAACTTCGATATATTAGTAATATCTCACTTTCTTTCAAACTGATAAGACAGCTACAAAGGATCAATCAACGCAATACGTAAAATGGGTTTTAAATAAAACGAAATGAATAAATTAGAAAATTAAATTTTTAAATAATTAGAAAATAATAATGTAATGTAACTACATATCATGCCTGCGTGCCCTGGAATTTCACAGCCTTTCACATTTGATCCCTCATCCGAAATATATCTTACAAAAAAAACAAAGGAGTGAGACAAAGGTCACCCACGCAGAAAACTTTATATAAAATCTGCCTGTAATGTAATACGTACGTTTTCTATGAAAGCGTATCTCACCTGCTGCTGTATACTAGACCGGCGACTAGTACTCCTAATGCCGGAGTCCTTCCTGCTGTTCACCGAGGGACAAAGACTAACGGCATCATCTTGAGGTCGCGGTTGCGCCGGTGGAAGAGGTAGATTCAATCGCCGGTCTTTAGGCCGAACCACTTCACCCTGTGCTGTAATTGTGGAGCTACGAGCGCGGCTTACAGGAACCTAGTAACATACACATATATAAATAAAGTGTTACCATATGTTCACCTAAATTTTGCCCATCACAATTTCAAGAAGAACTCCCAAAATTGGGGGACTCCCTTAATGGCATCACTATGTACACAAAAAAACATACATGCCGATTTTGGCGGCCGAGTTATTTAACTGCCTTAGTTTCCGATGCTCGCGGATACACGCAGATAAATATTTGTATTCATAAGTATGTATTTGTTTGTATTGGCCTGGGTTTTTGTATCGATATTATGAAATTTAATGTTTATTAAATAAATTATGTATTTCTATTTTGTGTGTTCATCGGTTATGAATTATTATGGATATTTATATCGTGTGCAACTTGTACCTAATTAATAAATATTACCAAATTAATAGTTTATATAGGTATATTTACCAATATACCGATACAAAACCAAATTAATCCATAGAGGTAGGTTCGCCCTCTACAACGTTGGAGTGTTTAGTGAGTATTATGTTCACGTACATTTTGCCCCCCGATCGATCCCCCGACCCAATCAAACTATCAAAATTACGTCGAGGAACTGATACAAAGTGCAAACCCCTAATGGTGCTCTTAGACTAAAGGCATATCTGTCAGAGTTAGCCTTCAGCCGCTCCATAAGACTCTCTGCAGGTTTGGAGTGCGTGCTGCACTAACTCCACTCCAAACCCGCGGAGAACTTTATCGTTCAGTAAAGCTCTAAAGGCCCGTGGCCCGTGGCTAATGCTATTGCATTAGAATAGTTCGAAAAAAAAATATGTGCTTATTAGGACCTCCACACATTTCAGATTCAGCCCGTGCCGATATCGCTATTCGATTGGCGCATTAGTCACTACGGCTCGTCATCTTTGGGAAACTGAACCAGATAATGTGAGCACAGGTTTAGTATTACGTTCACCATAATGTCAGCAGTTGACAATGCCTCGTGACTATTCTATCTGGTATTCTATTACAACTGTAAAGGAATTTCAAACTTAAAGTACTAATAACATGTGACTCTCATTACCTCTATATTATTAGATCTTCCATATTGGGACCTATAACTGCTACTTCTTGCAAATGGAGACATATTACTTCGTGATTGACTCAGATACGATCGTATATCGATAATTTCCTTTTCAAACGATACCATATCTCGACTCGGATGTACGTTTAGCTTACTACTACTCTGTACAGGTCTAGTACACTTATTGTCTTGAGATTCTATCACTATGGGCACTTGCTGATAACCGTTATTTGACTGTAGGCCAGCACCGTCAGACTCCAAGAGATGTAGAGCTTTCTCGTTCAATTCTTTCTTTATCTCATGCAAAGGTGTATCCGAATGTTTTCGCAGAAACCTGGGTACTTTCCAGTTTTTTAATTTATTTGTATATTTTCCGTAACTTCCTGTAATAAAATATAAGTAATAAGTGAGGATACTGAATTTATAAAAATAGATTATGAATATGTTTAACACAGATTATTACGTAATTCAAAATTTCTATAGAATCTATTAAAACATATATAAAATAAGTTAGCCTTGTTGTCCAGTGGTTTAGTACACTGACTTATACCATAAGGTCATGAATATCAATCTGGCCGACACCAGAACCGAAACCTTGTGCAATAATTTATTTTTTGGACTCACTATTCGGTGATGGAAACACCGATAAGAAACGCAATTACTCCTAAGCTCCAATAACTTCTCGACACTCTCGACATCGAAGGTTGATAATGCCTGACTACCCCACCTAGGATAGTCGTCAAAATGGTAGTATATTTACATCATTTATTATCTACAAAACTACCATTATGTAGTTGGAGCAGAGCGAAAAGTGTAAAGATGTCATACATTCTGTTTACCAAGTAATCATTTAACACATTGTTGCTGTTTGATCAATCGTTCATATGTATTTAGGAGTCGGTAGGTATTTCTGATAATTTCATTTTATAGGTACATTAAGTAGATATTTGGACGTTTTATTATAAACGACAACTATGTTATCACAGCAGGTCTACATACTAAGCCAATTACTATTTATATTCTGTTTTTCTTGATATGATAGGTATCCCTACTAATATTGTATAATTTGTCTGTCTGTTACACTGACTGTTCACCTGAATATTCATGAAAGACGTGAATATAGGTTGTATCATGAACATGGACATATATTTTATCCCAAAAAAAGACGAAATCTCGGGTTATACCAAGTATCTTATTAATATTATAAACGCGAAAGTGTGAGTATGGATAAATAGATGGATGGATGTGTGTTACTCTTTGCCGTAAAAACTACTAAAGGAATTTTGATGAAACTTTACAGTAATATAGCTTAAAGCATCTAGGCTATAAATTTTATGCGGGTGAAACCGCGGACACAACTATTTTAATATATAATCTTGTCGAAATAATAACATATACAACGGGGAATTACAAAAAGGTTATCTATATTATTTCTCTTATTTATTTTTTAGATCATAAATTATAATTAATGTGTTCAAACCGTAGTATCTCATAATTATAATACGAATATATCCTTATATATTTGTAATCAACTGTAGTTCGGCCTCAGACACATATATATGTATATTTAGAACGTTCTGCCAAAGTACTCTAAGTACAAGGTACAATAAGTGTATTTATATACAATTTTTATTATTAAATTATTATTTTTATATCATGGCTTTCATCTAAAGCTATAAAAAGTAAAAATAAAAATCTAAATACTATTAATATTATAATATTATGCAGGTGATTCTACATCTCGGTTGAATATCCTAATCTATACATACAATAGGACTAACTGATAGCTGTCCGTTCATTATTATTGATTCATTTACTTCAAGACAAGGAAGATATTGAGAAAATCTATTATCGGGGGACTTTATCAACGTAATATAATTCAAAACAATTGTTAGAATTTTCGTCTTTTGTCTGTGCAAGTAAATCTCACTATTGGCTTAACCGATTTTAAGAATTTGTGTTACCAAAATTTGAAATGGACCGCAAGACGCTTAAATAAAATTTTAGATTATCAATAAGAACTCTACTATATAACTTGACTTTTAAAGTGTTATCCATCACTCTTCTGACTAACAATTATGACACACACAATAGATATTAACTTCTTTTTTTAGCCTTTAAATATTTAAATTTCATGTATGTATGAAATTAATGAGTTGACAGATGCCCAATTTCCGATTCTCGATCTAATTGTACCTATGTCTTTAGATCCATGGATAATTTGGAACTAAGAACATCAATATTCTTACTGCTACTAGTTTTTCTAATGATCATTCATCACCTAATCACCGCACCGTCTTCATAGACTCATTACATAATGATAATATAACCATCAGACAAAAAACGTCGCTAATAAATTAATAATGTGATAATGACCCTATTCATCTTTATTATAATGCAGTCAAAACTGCGCATGATCTTTACTAGTAAGCAATGTGTTCATTTTACGTAACTCTGTCCTTGGCGATTTCCATAATGAGACACATAACTCTCCTACAGTTAATTATATTAAGTACCCACTTGTATTGTTGTCAGTAATATTGTAGTCATTGTTTAGTCCAAAAGGGTCAAGCATCACGTGATATAAAGTGTTTAGTGTTTGTGTTCTAGATCATATGAACGCGTTCAAACATTTCTATTTGTGTAATTTGTGATTGTTTCGATTAATAATGCGGTGATGTGGCGGGAGCATCACCTTTAGTGGCGAGGAGTCATTACATATCTTATCTACGACTTCTGCCTTCTGCCTCTGATAGCTAAGAGTTTTCCACAGTTCAATACATAATCAGCGTGGTCAAGTAAACAAACGAAACAGATATAGACTGTACATCGATCGACGCGCCAATCCTCTAACGTGTGCACAACATTAATTTTATGACCTCGTCGCCGGTTAATCTGGTTCACAGTTCAGTTCCTCGTTCCACAAAACGATCGTTATTTCTCAAATTAAGTACAGCCTAATAATAATAAAACTACGATTACTTAATTAATAAATTCATAAAATACGATATCATACACACAATATTATCCATAGGTAAAAACACTGATCTGGGCAAATACAATGTATAAGTTGTTATCACTTACCAACAGACGTCGGACTTTTAGAAGAGCTATCATTTCTGTCAATGTACCCCTTCTCGCGTTTCTCTTCTAACTCCGCCTCTGAATCCAATATGCTAGGCAGAGAACTAGCCTTAGCACGGAAATTGAATGGATTTGGTGACAAAAAGTTGTTAGAGTCTGCTCTTCGTGGACTATCTTTTCTTTCCCTCAAATGTAGTTCTCTTGAAGCATGAGGATTAGGGGAATTATTGAAGGAGAGGACTGATTGTGGAGAAGCTGCAGGAGATATAATGAGTCGTAAATTAACAGGATTGGAAGGTGTAAGGCAGTGGTCACAGTCATATGGAGAATACAGTTGCCGGCCTTCTATGAAGTATGTTTTATGACCTAAACAAAATTTTATGCATTAAACACATATCCAAATATCAAGAAGCACATAATTTAATATTAATTTCTAAATATAACTTACCAAACACTTCTTCGCCCTCTTCTAAAACATAACAACCTCCAAGGAACTTGCTTGTTTCCTCCGATATATGTACGCGCCCCGGTCTCCCAGTGGATTCCATTTTATTGGCAAAAGTTACATCATTGCTCCATACGTCAAATTTAAATCTGCGGGTACCCACAATACCGCACAGTACAGTGCCAGTATGAACGCCCACTCTCATATTAATTCCTTCACCTCGCTCTCTGTCAAATTCTTGTATAGCTTCTATCATTCCTGAAGTATTAACATGAAATTAACAATAGCAGTTAAATTATCTAAATGTACTATCTTACTACTATACCTTTTTGAGAGCGTTTTATTTAAAGAGTATAGTACAATATAGACCTTGTAGTTCCAAATGTCGTGAGTTCGAAAGTAGCGACATTAAAAAACACAATATAGTTTAAAACAAAACCCAAGTGAAATGAATACGTGAGACGGGTAAAAGTCCGCGCCCTGTCACATTGTTTTAAATTTATTCATCGAAATATGACAAATGTAGTATTCACCACGTCTACAGTAGACTTATCCAGAGGAATCTACTCCTCAGACTATAGTGAGTTCTATGGTCTGAGACTATCGTGAACTTAATTATATATTTTCGCGGCGAAGATTCAAACGGAGATGCTTAATTATTAGACTAATTATTATTCTGAACGAAACTAAAAAATATTGCAAAATACGATAGCCATGGTATGGATTATTATACAATTTTACTTACCTAATCCCATCTCAACACAGCAAGTAGCATGGTCGGGTCTAGGTTCAGGGCAACCAGATACACAGTAATAACAATCGCCTAAAGTTGATATTTTCTCACATCCATGCTTCTGACAGAGTTCATCAAATTTTTCAAATAAATCATTTAAAATATTCACTAGTTCCTCAGCGCCTTTGTTGCTGGACATCTTTGTGAAGCCAACAATGTCAGCAAATAAAATACTAACATTGTCCATTGAACTCATATTGAATGGTCTAAATAGAGATTTAATATCTGATGCGCCTGGATTTGAATTTCTAGGGTTTAGTGGATCATTGCTTTTTAAATTAGTATCCGATTCCAGTACTTGCTCTTCCATCAGCCAACTAGCAAGTTTCGGCGGCATGACTGAATGTATCATCTTCTCTTTTAATTGTTTTTCCATTTCTAGCTGCCTTCTTACCAACAAACTTTGCCCTACTTTCATAAATGTGCCACGCATTCTGACAAATGTCATAAGATAAATATGGACACCAATTATGTGCACACAGAGTTGAAGTAAAATTCTGACAAACATTCCAGGACTTTGCCATTGCTGTTCAGTCAAATGCAGGAATATATTTAAAACTTCAAACACAATAGAATATAAAAGTCCAATAATAACACAAGCATACAACGGCAATGGTGTCAGTGTATATATAATCAGAAGAATTTCAATACACATAGTGAAATGTCCCGACTGACTAATATCGGCAGCTTGAGTGGAATCTACTTCGAGCTGTGTGGTCAGAGTCACTAATGAGAGGCTTAGTGTACACAGAGCGAGTGCCATGACCAGGGATAGCTTAAATGTATACACCCTATAAATTTTTGTAAAAGTAACAAATAACATGACAGATGTTATCAAGAGGACCCCAGCAAACATTGAACATAGAAATGGCCATTTGACTGTTACGCCATTCAAGCCAAGGCCCACAAAGTAGACAAACCATGATATAGAAAATATCAAAATGTATAAAAGTGCAAATCTGAAAAGGAGAAAATAAAAACATCAAGTATGCAAATTTTCATAAAACAATGTAATAAATACAATCACATATATTCATGCAGTGTTCAGTACTAGGTAATAAAATATTAGAACTCACCTGAATCTCAATCTTATTTGCCTAAAGGAACTACTTCGGTATTGGCCTTCGAGTATCTCAGAATCAAATCTGGGGTTCCACCATGTTCCTGGTGCTGCCCGCTCAAAGGCAATAGGTATAGCAAGTCCACAACAATTGGTGGTGGAATTGTTATGCGCCAAATATGCCTGCACATGGGGTGCCAAGCGAATTTGAATGTCTTCACCTTCTGAACATTCCACATCCTGTCTGCCTTCAAACTGTTGTGATCCATCACTGCAGCTTACACATCCACTTGGTGCACTCATTGTTTAGAAAATATATTACATTCCATTTTAATAATATTGTTTCACCATTCTTGTTGTATTTGTTTACAATCTGTGTAATATACAAATATCTCTATATATAACTTATTAGCTTATAAAACTTGGCAGGGAAAAAGGTCATTACTTAATAGATTTTATCATATTCATACATACTCAGTAAAAGTCAAAATTTTTTATTCATACACTTTCAGCCACTTATGTAAGTAAAAACCTTATAATGACAATATGTGCCATAAAGTTTAGCTACTGTACTACAATTTTCTCAAATGAAGTACATTTGATATAAACTAACATGAAACTCGACTGGTATTTTTTATTCAGTACCAATTTAAAAATAATAGCATACCAATAGTTTGTATATATCTTGCATATTTAAAATATCAAAAATCCCTTGTCTGAACAACTAACACCATACAAGCTCATACTGCTAATAATGTTAAATTCAAAATATAAATGAGTTATATTTAATTATAAATAATTGCCTATACATATTATATAATAAATATCTGAGAGTCGACCCAGCCTCACCCTACTGTCTTAATTGTTTTTGTTTAATCACATTTTTCCAGACATGACACCTTGATAGATAAACTTGTCCAGCTAATGTTATCAAAGTAGGTACAACCTGTTATAAATTTAAATCTCTTATGTTTGCTACATTTAATTATCAAACATTACTTTACAGTATTTATGAATTTCAGATTGACATTCAGTTTTTAACTTACTACTTATATGAAGTCAAAAACTGTAGGTATTTTCAATAGATATATAGCAACAATTTGACATAACTGACACTATATTGTGCATATAATATCTAATATTATAACTTTTACCTAATAGTTAAGTATCTATGTTTATTATATATTTTTCATATGTTTATCACTGAAGATTTAGGGATTTTTGTATACCAGATTCTGGTTGTTACTTATTGCTATTATAATTGTATATCTATGTATATATATATATATATATATATATGTTATACATATGATCATTATAACAGCAGCTATCATTAATTAACTATTATAAAGGTCACTCTCAATTTGTGGTGAATGGGTGGTTTATATAAACTGAAATAAAACTGTTTTATTGAAATAAATGTTTTTGTTTATTCTTTACAAAATACAAAATTCTATTATTACATTATATTTAAATTAAATTGACCTAAGAGATAATTCTTCAAGTAATGTGTATGTGACATTCATAATGATAACCAATATAAATTCAACTAAACACTAAATACAAAAAAATATGTATGTAATAAAAGAATATTTAATTAACAACTAATGATCAAATTGAATTAATTTTAAATTTTGCTTGTGGTTTTTTCATTTATTTTTCTATGGAATACATTTTAGTACGACAGCGTATAATCAGTAATTATTTTGTATTTATTTATCATGCGAATTGTGTAAAATAAAACTAAGTACAAAAATAGTATACAATCAATTAGTAATGCCAAAAATATAATATTTTACCTACCTTATAAAGTAGTAATCCACTACTCCCAAGGCTTATAACTTCACTTACAAATTATTAAATCATATTTTGTCATTTATGTAACGAACACGATATAACAGTTAGTTCTCTGTTTAGACGTACAAATATTTGATAATGCATCTCTGAACTATGATAAAAGAATAATTAATAAATGTATCATAAAAAATTACAGAGAAAACACAGAGACAGAACATAAATACAGAAACATTACAAGAACAGAAAATGACAGACAGTCAGGTATACATACAAATACTAATTGTCAAAAAATATTTGACTTTGACTCGTATCGACGGTAATTGTACCACAGAATCACAATTGCCTTCCACAAGATAATCTGTACTCTGATTGGTTGATGCAGTTGATGATTGTCTGATGGTTTTAAAATAAGAACGGTATCGTTATAATAAATTGTAGTGTCATCTATTTATTTCATTTTAGGTCGACATCCATGTAGGAGAGGATGAAAAAAAATCCTATGGAATTTGCTACTGGCTGATTTGACTTCATTATAATCCTAGAATCCTCCACAGATCATATATATCTAAGGCGAGTGTAACAAACCATAATCACCCATTTAAAAGTATAACTATAATAACCAGCCAAAATCCAGATACCTTCTGTTACAAGATATCTACAGTATCTAAATAAATTTAGTAACTACAATTACTAAAACTATAGCACCTATAGCTATTATATACTCCAGTAATTTCAAAAATTAAGTAATAAATTACCAACACCGTACTTCGTATTAAGCAAAGTACTAAGTATACGTCATTCGTAACCGGCAGTGGAGTAGAACTGTGTCGGGCAACCTCCGCGATGGCTAATGACCGTCGTTTGTCTTTATGGATAAATTTGTGTAGAACAGCAAAATAAATTGGTAAATTTGTCACGATAGGCAAACTGAACTCATACTCATCATTGTCCATCGGTACCGTTCCAATGTATAACAACTGTAAGTGCAGGCGGTGCACTATTCAACAATCATCAATAAAAACCCCCTCTCTTGTAAATTTTAAAGAGTTAAATCTTTATTTCAATAAAAGTTAAACCAAATTTTAAAGTTGACTAGTTTGCGTATTAAGAAAATATGAATTGGAGAGATGGCGGTAGTTTCAAATAACGAAACGTCGACATTTAAGAGTACACAAAACCAGTTATCGATTTTTTTACTTCTGAATTAGAAATCGTACACTGTAATCTTACATTTTAGCAATAGGTCTTGTTTATATATTTATTTTTGTTTATAAATACCTATAATCAAGAATATTCATTCGTAACTGCAGGTATCTGGATAGTTTGCTATTGAAGGGATTTTATTCAGGTTTATTTTTGTAGTACTCGTTTTTTTCCTCACTTAATTGCTCACCGTCGAAATCTTCTAACACGAATTTTTCAACTGTCTTAGAAATTTTTGATCGGGAGGAAATTGGTCACTTTGCTCTGTTCTTAGCTTACGATCCAGCGGAGGAAGAGTCAGGCAAGAAAAAAAATCTAACTCATATTAACAGCCAGTACCTGGTTCCTTGTCAACTGTTTACTGGGATCTACTTCATTCTTATTTATATATGCATTAACAATCCTTACTAATATTGTAAAGGCGAAAGTAGCTCTACCTGTCTATCCATCTGTGTATGTCCGAATTTTGTACACAGATAGTCTAGACCCTGAGAAAGGACTTTTTAATGCCTATATCCAACAAAGGGTGTAAGGGGTTGAAAACGGAGATAAAAGTTTGTATGGAACTATCGTCATTTTTAAAACACTTTTTAAGCTGTTGTTTAAATATAAATAAAATAAAAGGCGAGAGGAATGATTGTATGGAATTATCGTTATATTTAAAGTGGAATCGTGGAACTTATTTTTTAAGCTGTTGATTAAATATAAATATATACTATATTCAAAGTTTGTAAAAATGTGAGGAACAGTTATTTAATGGGGTGAAATAAAAGAAGAGATGTATGGAAAATCGTCCTTTTTGAATCTAGAATGATGAAACTTTTTTCTTTGCTTTTTTGGGTTAGGCCATTGAATATCTTTTTGTTTAGTTCAGGTCACAACATGAGGTGGAAGTCGCTGGCACAGCTAGTATAAAATATAAGATAGTGAATAAAAAGTAAGTAAAGTAATTTTAAAATAAATAATACATTTATTTTTATTCAACAAGTTTTCGAGTAAGTTTAATATACATTTACAAAATGTTAATTTAATTACAGAAAAAGTATACAATTGTATTATATTAAGCACAATATGACATAATTGATAGAGTGCACAATGATATGATACAAATCTATTATATCTATAAATATACTTCACACAACAACTATTCTATTAGTTTTATTGTCAGAGTGGATATGTTTGTGTCTTTTACTACAACTAATTATAATGCTGGAGCAGACATAGTTTCACATAACCCAACAAAGTAAAAATTAGTGTATAGATATCCGAGCTTTTTGAACATGTCAAAGATTGATCAAATATTTGCACTGGTTTCCATATTGTTTCTTAACTCTAGTAAGCCCAGTGCAGTATGGAGGAAGTACTTACTGTATCTGCATATCATATCTGGTGCAAGTGAACAATATTATACTGTAGTGTGTATACTGTATATGTTACAAAAAATAAATTTATGTATTTCTATCAGTTCTTTAGTTAGTAAAATTATACATGCTTTAGTTTTCTGAATTAGAAAATAACATAGATGATTAATTATTAGAACAATTTAGTTTGATTTAGAGAGCTTCATCTCTTATCTCAAGAATTTATGCGATATATGAGATATGAATTTATTTGAATTGTTAGGAATAAATAGTCTGCGAGATTTATAAACAATTTTTGGTAACCACTTATCTTCATAATAATAACAATAATATAATATCAGAATAAATTCTGTTAATATCACAATAATTTTATTCATCTTGGAAGACAATCTATCAACACAGTTAATATGACATATTGTAATTGATAATAAAATATTCTATTATATATTTTCAATACTTTTTTAATAAGGCACATAATAAGCACCATTATGTTTCAAAAGATCTTACTGTTGTCTATAAACATATACTCTTATTTGCAGTCTATAACACAAGAGTATATGTTTACATTAAGTTACACCCCTTTTCTTAGGGTAATCTGCATCCTACTGTTAGGCATTTGCCTTTCTTTTCCTTTTTTATTATTTAAATACATACCAAGAACTTTGTAAAAAAAACATCTTATAAGAAATGTTTACTATTCTCTTGTACAAATTATTTACAATTCTCTTCTTTCTGTAACATCTCTAATCATTATACATACCATCAAGCAAAAAGTCCATTCTCTTATAATGCCTATTTTTCCATGCTTCCTGACCACGGCGTAATGCCATGTAACCCAATACAGCAAATAATGGCACTGTTAATATAGTAATAACAACAGGCATGATCAAATCAGGACGGCTGGAGTTCATGGCCTCAATTTTTTTTACATTTGGATTGGGTATTTGGTCGATAACAGATTCGGATGAAGACTTAATTGATAATTGTTCATTCTTAGTATGTTCATCTACTTCTGCAAGGGCTTCATATGATAGCACAGTAGGCTTCAATGGTAGTACAGTTATATTTTTTATTTCTGGCACATTATTAACTTTTTCTGTTGTTTCCTTGTTTTTATTATCTTTTGAAGACATAGAAATTATTGCAGAGGTAGTCGATTTATTTTGCTTGGAATCTTTTGGTAGTTCCGTAGTATTATTCGAAAGGGATTTCTTTTCTTGTGAAGTTGGATATTTAACACCTTTACGAGGTACAACTGGTCGTTCCTTATTTTTACCAAATTCTTTATCTATGCTTATAAGATTAGTATGATTCTCCTTGAGCACTGTCAAGGGAGATGTAATAGGTAAAATAGGGCCACCTTCGCTAACTAATGTTACTTTAGCAATATTTGAATCATCTTCATGTGATTTTTTCGATGATGGCATATTTGTATTTGTGTCATGTTCAATTGAATTCTTTCCATATAGTAAAGGAAGAAACAGGAGATTAAAATAAAAGTAAATTAGTAACATTTTGGGATAAAACTAAAAATTATAAAGTAATAAAATTATTAAAAACACAAAACTAAAATAAAATAATAAGAAAAATATATTGAATCAAAAAATTTGACAAATGCCAAAAACAACTAGAGCAGTCAAAATTCAGGCCTCACACGTGATAAAATATCGATATTAATCTATAGTATACATTGAATCGAGTTATAGTATTAAATACAGTTTAATAAATATGCCTATCTAATTATTGTTATAAAATATGATTACGAAAGATATATTCATTATTTTATTTTCAGAACAATGGAATCTGTTCATGTTCAAAATTTGCTTTTGTGACAAATCTAAAAATACAAGTAATTAATCTTCTTGACTCCCGCTCTTTGGGTTTTCTACTATTCAGAAATATTACTTTTAGTAGTAGTCTGTAAAAGTAAAATAATACATTTCAGTTATGTATGTAAAAAATATTATATACATAACTGAAAGTAAATAGGCATAGCCGACAGTGGCTGTAAAGATAAAGTAGGAAAATAGAGAGAATCTGGGCTAATAATAAATTAGAAAAAAATCTGAAAAATCAACTATATGTCATTGTCATTGTCAGATGTCATCAAAGTACAAAGTCTATACCAATAAGAGGAAAAAAAACATAAATTTTAGTTCGGTTAGGTGTTATTGCAGCTATTTATGATTTCTGACTGATTATATTAATGAAATGAACACTTGATTTCAAAATGAGAACCCGCAGTAATTCTGGGGTTCGACTTGATTATTATCAAAGAGTCGTACACAAGCTCATTTTAAATCACCAGCAACCTGTTACTGGATTATTTCCTGCCAGTCCTCATAATGATCATGCCTGGATTCGGGATAATTTATATTGCATATTGGCAGTATGGGGATTGTCGATGGCCTTTAAGAAAATTGCAGATCAAGACGAAGACCGCGCTAAAACCTATGAGTTAGAACAAAGCTGCGTAAAATTAATGAGAGGTATTTATTTGTATTCCGTACAATATTAAATAAAATTTATTAAAACTTGCTCATTTTACATTTATAATACTTGTCCATTTCTTTTTGTGCAGGGCTTTTAATGGCTATGATGCAACAAAAAGATAAGGTAGAAAAGTTTAAAAGTTCACAGAACCCACTAGACTCACTCCATGCAAAATATTCCTCAGCCACGGGGCGTACTGTCGTAAAGGATAATGAATGGGGTCATCTACAAATAGATGCTATATCATTGTACTTGCTAATCCTGGCCCAAATGACTGCTTCTGGCCTACAGTGTGTTTTCTCACTTGATGAAGTTGCATTTATACAAAACCTAGTCTTCTACATTGAATCAGCATATTGTACCCCTGACTATGGTATTTGGGAGAGAGGTGATAAAACTAACCATGGCCTACCAGAATTAAATGCTAGTTCCATTGGAATGGCCAAAGCTGCTCTTGAGGCTATGAATGAATTAGATTTATTTGGAGCTCGAGGAGGACCCTCAAGCGTAATACATGTACTGGCTGATGAAGCTCAGAAATGTCAGGCTGTGTTACAGTCAATGTTGCCAAGAGAATCCAATAGTAAAGAACTTGATTCTGGCTTATTGTCTATTATAAGCTATCCAGCATTTGCTGTTGACGATCCACAGTTAATAGCGAAGACTAGAGATACAATTGTAACTAAACTTCAAGGGAAATATGGCTGTAAAAGGTTTCTTAGAGATGGGCACAAAACACCTAAAGAAGATCCTAACAGATTATACTATGAGCCATGGGAGTTAAGAATGTTTGAGAACATTGAATGTGAATGGCCACTGTTTTTTTGTTACTTAATTCTTGATTACTGTTTCCAAGGCGATAAAGCAAATGTCAGTGACTACAGTCACAAATTAGAGAAAATTATGATACGGAAAGATGATGGAATGAAATTGGTGCCAGAGTTGTATTCAGTGCCCCCTGATAAGGCTGATCAAGAGCAGTGTGACCCTGGCAGTCAGGATCGCATACCTTTAGGGAGGTGCCCTTTCATTTGGGCACAGTCATTATATATTCTTGGAAAATTATTACAAGAGGTAAGTCCTTAAATATTTATTTCAAAATCTATTTAATTTTTATCAAAGAAACAAAGAATTAATGACAGTCAAAATTAAATATTCAGCAGTAAAAATGGAGTTTGTTATTATAAAAAGTATTTTATTTGCTTAGTATATTTAAGTACCTTGTGTAATAAATATATATATTTTTTTATATAAGCTGCACATAAAATTGTTTTTATATCCTCACAATTTATGTAGTAATAAGAAATATTAACAATATAATATACTAGCTGTTCCCACAACTTCGTCTGCATGGAATTTAACTTTATTTTTCTAAAATAAAAGTAGCCTAAGTTACTACTTATTACAACAGCAACCTGCCAAAAAAGTCCCGTTAAAATTGGTCCAGCCATTTCGGTCATGGTCTTGTCGGCCAGATATTATGGTATATGTACCATATATATAATCATATGCATGTAGTAAAAAACGGGTATTTCAATATTACAAACAGACACTCCAATTTTATTTATATGTATACATTAAAGAGAAATGTTGATTAAACTGCAATTTGTTGCAGGGATTCTTAGCTGTAGGTGAATTAGATCCCCTTAACAGACGACTTTGTTCAGAAAAAAAGCCAGATGTAGTTGTTCAGATAGTAATATTGGCAGAAGATAATGAAATCAGGGACAAATTATTGGAATATGATTTGCATGTTCAAACTATTACTGAAGTTGCACCAATTGAAGTTCAACCAGCAAGAGTTTTAAGCCACCTTTATACATATTTAGGTAATAAAATTTGTTTTTAATATAACTTTAAAATATGTGTTATTTGTACAGTTTTTTTCTTTAAAAAATATATGCATCTATTATGTCTCTCATATTTAAAATCATCACTATATCATGTTAGAAGCCCAATCATGTTTTGCCATTACAGAGGAGTATAATGTTATGCCTCTTATTCTGTAATTTCACTGTACCTAATCTCACCCTACGACTAAAACACAGCTTACAAAGCAAGCTGTTTGACGGGTGAAATAGAATTGACTGAGGTATCAAAAAAACTACTTTGTTCTGTGGAGATACCCATGCAGAGGACTTTCTAGTTTATATGATAAAATTGAAAAAATTTTTATGATAATTGGGTCCCTTCCTAGTATTAATAATTGTGTTAAATAATGGCATTCCATATGAGATTATATGTGACTAAATACATTTGGATATTTGTTAATTACAGGAAGAAACAAAAAGTTGGGCTTGTCTGGAAGAAAGTCTCGCGATGTCGGAATACTTAGTACTAGTAAATTGTATTCATTGAATGATCGCATTTTCGCTTTCACGCCACAGGTATGTACCAGTCGCGTAAATAAATCAAAACTACTAAACTAAACAAAACTTTTTATGTTGGATTTACTTGCTAGCAGAAACATAACATGCGTCCAAAATCTGTATTATCAGATGGTATTTTTTTACATCATGACAAAATTTTAACTTTTTTGTTTTACTTATGATGCATCCAAACATTTGTGCATATTTACCATAATTGTTCCATTTAAAACCAACAATATTTTACATGAAACAGTTATTTTTAGAAAGATTAACATTTAAACATGCTGGATACCTTTGTGTAATGTTATTCTGTTGTTAGGTACTTACTTCATCTCCTAGTTTTATCAATGAAAGAGATACTAAGTGTAGGTTTAAATATGTAGTGTGCGACGGAACTTCAGTCTGACAGCTGAAACTGTAATTATCCATTGAGGTAGTAAATATACAAAAATTTTAGCAAAGAATAGCAAATGTGTAGTGATAGAAGTCATACTAGTTTTATTGCCATGAAATAATATTTTAAGAAATTTAATTTATAAAATAATAATAATTTCTATGTATAATTCGAACATATATATTTATAATTACTTTGAATCTCTAGCGTAGCTTTTGTTTCAGCTGTAATTTGGGTTATGAAATCGAAACTAACCCCAAACTTAGTAAAATCAAAGATTCCCTCGTACACTATATTATTTTCTAAATTGTGGTATTAATATCTACATTTCAATATATATTGACATGCTATGCTTTCTAATAAATTAATTTTATTTTGTTAGTTTTCTGATATGAAGCGTTTCTACATTGCTTCTGACTATGAACTGATGGTTGATATACTCAAAGCAGAAATTAATTTCTTGAAGTCTTCTTGGCAAAACCTTCTTGGGCGGCCGCTTGTTGTCTTGACATTGAATCAAACATATTTAGGTATTAACATTTTATTTTCTTTACTCCTTGTGCTTGCTGGTTTGTCACAGTGTTTTTTATTTCGGACCTTTATTCGTTGTTGTGTGCTTATTAATTGCTGTATCTCTTATACCTTATTATAATTATTAATAATAATATCGACCAATTTGAAATTACGATTTTTAAATTATGACGGTATACCTATATGACTTGCAAGTGGGTCATTGTGTTCAACTGCATCCCGAAAATATTTGAGCCACCTACGAATTTAGCTTCAATCGAATCTTTTATTTCGTATCAAATGCAGTTCTAAAAAGTACCTGTAGATTAATGTAATTACTTAATATATTTAAGTAATTCTGTTCTATTTATAGAAAACTGTAAATGTAATAAAGAACAACCGCACCTGCTTTTGTTGCCGCACTGTGTACAGATGAATGATCTCTAAGTATTTTGTATCAAACATTACTAGTAACCGTTATAGCCAAAGTGGTTTTAAAATTGTTTACTTTCATACATTTTAGGGAGAGTGTTTATTGAACTGCAAGCGTTGTTTGTTGATCTAACTTAATAATGTGGTAGATATATTAATTATATTTTAAATGAATTAACATTTATATCACTAGTTGTTTTAGTTTTTAATTTACATATTTTGTTACCGGTATATATCTTAAGCGGTTTTGAAAACCTAACATTTTTATATCATTCTTTTCATAAAAAAGAATTACCAGTAATATATTTTCTACCATATATAATATATTTGTTGTAGGTACGTACCTAACTATTGTGCTAAAAAATGGATGTGTGTAAAAAAATAGAATTCATTATTCAATAATATATAAACTGAACTTTCCAATTGGAATGTATAAACTACATAATTGTGTGTAGAATTGCATGAATAGTGTTACACTTTGTAGATGTAGATCTGATAGAACATCATTCTAATTAGTACAGATTAATTACTCAATAGAATTGTTCACCTGGTGTGATAACGTGCATGGGTGTGCCATAGAACTTCGACTACGAGGAGTACTACATGTCTCGCGATCCGGCGCTTCTCGCGAGTACGTTCACGGCCAACGTTGCGTTCCTGGGCATGAGCTGGAAACAAATGCTAGGCCGACCTACCATCACGTTACTCGCCACGCAGAACCTGTTAGGTAAACAGACGCTATTAGTATTACAAATATTTAACTTTAATATATTGATAACTGTATTAACTTTTATATTATACTAGTCGTATGCGGGATTATCTGCAGGTATATCTGTGTACTAATTAAATTTGTGCACTCATCTTACTATAGCCCATCGATGGATTATTGCTATGCGCGTCTTGAAAAGCTCATATTTCTTTATTTATGTACACAGTGCGGCTATTTATTAGTCATTATAAACTTTTACAAATAAAAGATATATCAATATCGGCTAAAGACGTATCTATTAACTCTTTCTATACACACAGACGGATAAAAACACAATTTAAAAAATTACATCATGTTATAATGAATACAGCGGATAAATTTCTGCACATTCATTTTGGTCCTAATTCTTTATTGATAAAAATTTATTTTATCAATCTATTTTGCTTACATGCCTTTATATTAAAATTCTATGTTCTGTATATGTTTGTGTGAATTCAGATCAAGGCAAGATACCAATGGCTATGATAACAACCATGAAGAAATTAAAGTCAGGATATATTAACGGCACTCGGGTGACTCTCGGAAATCTCGGAGATTTCCTTAGCACGTCTGCCATAACAAATTTGAGTTTCCTGGGCAGCCAAGAGGATGGTTATCCTGACAGTGAGTACACTATTAAAATATGTTTTTTTTTTATGTATGCACTTAGAAAGTTTTGATTAAATTATCTATACCTACATATAAATAAAATTGGAGTTTGTACTTGTAATATTGACATAACCGTTTTTTACTACGTGCATATGAATATAAATACTGTACATACACCAAAATAACATTTTTTTACAATGTTGTCTTTCTGTTTGTTCCGGCTAATCTCAGAAATGGCTGGACCGATTTTGACGAGACTTTTTTGGCAAGTAGCTAATGTAATAAGGAGTAATTTAGGCTACTTTTGTTTTAGAAAAAAATCTTTCACTTTAGAAAATACGATACGGACCAAGTCGTAGGAACAGCTAGTAGTTAATAAAATAAGATACATGTGGTATTGATTCATAATATTAATTAGGCTTAATTAACATTACGGACATATATAAAATGTGATCGTGTTTGTCCATGTATCGATCGACATCAGTGCTACATCAGTTTAGCACTCTACCTCAACTTCTGTTATTTATAATGATTATAAGTTATAATAATAATAAATGTTTTTATTATGTTATGATTTATAACATAATATAAATATTTATATAATGAATATCTATGTTTATATCGTTCTTTGTGTTTTTATATATATACTAGTTTCTTTTCGCTGTTTCTACTCCGTCTACTATCGTCATAAGCCTATAATATAAACCTTACCATACCATATGCTGCATATATTCCAGACTTTAAGATGCTGTTAAGCTGTTACGGCGTGCAAAAGCAAAAAGCAAAACTCACTGACTCACTTATAACATTAGTTTGCATTATATATGTAATTGGAATAAATAGTGTAGCTATAGTATAGTTTGGGACTAGATTGTCCTGTGTAATATAAAAAGTAATTTATTTATTTGTACTAGGACTGAATCCAAAAGTGCAGAGCTACTTAGAAGAGCACCTGCTGAAGTCGTTTAGTAACAAGGTGTCGGTGCTATCGAAGCCGCCAGCGTCACGCACGCGCTCTCTACGGCGTCGCATGTCTGTCCGTGGTGCCATCAAAAAAACACGCTCTATCAATGTAGACTGTATGTATTCGTCGTATAAGTCGTTTTTACACAAGCAAAATTGTCACTGATTACAAATAAAGTACTATTACAAAATACTTGTGTATTGCAATACTTATATGTATAACATAAGTTAGAGTTGCCAACCGTCCTAGTTTTTGTTCCTGACATCTTGAATAGTTTTAAGGAGCATCCTAGGATTTTAAACATATTAAAAAATCAAATTTATTCAAATACTTTTATTAAAATATATGATTATTTTAATTACTTGAATTTCATTGCGCCTATTTGCACTACATATTAATATAACTATTGCAACTCAATTATTGGTTCTTGTTTTTAAAATGATTTGTCCTGCCTTATCCGACTTCAAATCAAGTATTTTTTAATTTGTTAACTTAGCAACCTTAACATAAAGTGACTACTTTTTCATAAGTATGCATGTTTTGCTTTTTGTACAGCGGAAACCCTTGGAATGGAAGGCGAGTATGTGGGCCCACCCGTTGAGAGAAAACCATCTTGGCTAGAAGTAGACCCTATGGTAGGGCGCAGTCCATCGCCAGATGATACGAAGAAAATGATCTTTACAAAGTAATTATAATTTTAAGTAATTTTTGTTTTAAACTCCAGTAATCTCCAGTAATCTCCAGTAATCTGTTATAAATCTGCCAGAAAAAAGATTTCAATGTCAAATAAAACACTTCTTTTGCAAAAAAGCTTACTATAAAATTGAAGAATTCTTTAACGATAATAATGTTTTTGTAGAAAAATTTTAAATACATAGCACTGACAATATTATCTGATTACACTAATAATGAGTGCGTAGCGATTTCTATGTTGATTGTCGCATGCCTCTTACTTATTACACTGTAATTATTTATATAAAAAAAAAACATCTATTAAAAAGAGCAACACACAAGTTTCTTGCTCATTCTTCTTGTGATGAATCTGCATTCCGAATGAGTGGTAGAATCAAAATATGACTATTCAAAAGTGCTTGTAATGAGTTTATTTGAATAAAGATTATTTCTATTTCTATTTCTATTGTAATTTAATTACACTGTTTTATTTACACTGTTTGTTTTCAGGGACACATTAAGTATAACTTCGAATGCAGGACCATCAACAATTGAAATTAGTAATGAGGAAAGCCCATCACCACCTAAAGAAGGTAAATTTTGTAATAAAATAATTAAAATCTTGTTTTCATGTCGAAATAAGTTTATAGTTAGTTATACATACGCTTAAACGCAATATTTGCTCATTTCAATCGGTATATTTGAAAGGTATATAGTATATTTCTGCTATATAAGACAGTGCATGAAAACATGTATTTATGTTTTCGTTTAGACGAATTTAAAATGTATTCTATTCCCTGAGACTACTTTTCTCTATTATCTCTAGCTATGATGTAAAAATAATAAGATGACTATTTTAGTGAATAAGAACATCCCAACCATAGTCCGCAACCGAGTTACATCCGATAGCCAGAACTTATACGCTGAGACGGAAACCGACGAACTCATGGCAATGCTTCGCGAAACTGAAAGCTTGGATGAACAGGGAGATATCTTGCAATATTTGGTAGACACGCATGGACTTGATTTCAACACTGGTACCTACGTATCCTTTATTTTTCTTTTGTATCTTATTATCTATTGTACTGTTAATTAATTTGCCTTTAATATATTTTTTTATACAAAGTACCTTAAAACATATTTTTCTTCTTTAACTTACTTTTTTCTATTTAGATTCAGAACATAATATTTAATGATGACTGCTTGTTAAAAAGTTAAAGATAAAACTATTACAGAATGTATTTATTAAGTATAATGTTATATTACAAAGAAACAAATCGTAACTCTGTCGTATCTATTTACAGGCATGTTAGAAAACGGTAAAGTGGTGACTGTGAAGGACTTACTAAAAGTTCTTTATGAAAAAGCATGCACCCAGAAATTGTGGGGCTTAGTCAGGCATACCGCTGGCATGCTTGGTAAACGTGTGGAGGACCTCGCTAAAGCGGTCACAGATCTGCTTGTAAGACAGAAACAAATTACTGTTGGCATGCCTCCCAACAATGAGCATACAATTACCGCACCACTGCCTGAGAACGAGTTAAGACAGCTTATACATCTGGTGAGAGTCCGGTTTAATTAAATTTATTACATATAATTTTTTTATTTTAATTATATTTCTATAAACAATTAAATGTATACAATTTTTTTTGCATGCAGTCATTTAGCTGTCAAAAGTCTAATGAACAGAGAAAGGTAATTTTTAAACTGATAAACAATTAGTAGTCGTCATTTTAAAGTAATTTTTATACATGTAATCTTAATATTCATAAGTAATAAAATGTACCCTATATAGTATGATATCCTATATATTATGAGCACTATGTAGGTAGCCTAAATAGTCGTTAAGAACTTGGAATACTTTAGTCCAGTTCATAATTAATTTATTGTAAATGTTAATTTACGCAGGCGTATGGCGACGACGAGAGTACAGCGATGTTAACGCAAGAGTTGCTGGTATATCTGGCCATGTTTATTCGTACTGAACCCCAGCTGTTCCTCGAGATGTTGCGTCTCAGAGTTGGCCTAATAATCCAGGTACAAAGTCTTTACACAAGATATATTATACTACGCTGATATTATAAGTGAGAGTGACATTTTTAGAGTGTGTTGTAAGTTAATGCTATATGTGGAACTATTATGACTATTTAAAAAAAAGTTACCAGTGGAGAATGATAAGGTGAACACGATCAGGTCAACAGGTCACAGATGAACAGGTCAGGTCAAATTCACCAAAATTATCACAATGGTTTTCAGGCGAAAATAATAGTAATAATAATTTTTATTCACACTATTTTTACATATTTACTGACATTCTCATAAACCTTTATATTCTTACTAGCTGTCCCGGCACTATTTTTACATATTTACTGACATTCTCATAAACCTTTATATTCTTACTAGCTGTCCCGGCAAACGTTGTTTTGCCTTAAAATAAAAATAGATGTTGGCCGATTCTCAGACCTACTCAATACGCTCACAAAATTTCATGAGAATCGGTCAAGCCGTTTCGGAGGAGTATGGGAACGAAAACTGTGACACGAGAATTTTATATATAAGATTAAATACGCAGGATTAATTTTAGAGTATTTACTACTAGTATCTAAACTAGACCATGAAATAAAAATTTAAATGTTTAAATTGCGTGTTTATATTTGTATTAGGTATATTACATTTGTATATTTACATATGTACATGTTGTAATAATATTTTAAGGAAGGTGTTACATTTGAATGTAGATGGTTATAAGTGCAGAGGAATATTGAAAAAGGGATGGATGGACTGTGTGAAAGATAATGTGGTAAGAAAAGGAGAAAATAATGAGATAACTGCGAATAAGAATGAATGGAAGAGAAAACATATTACGCTGATCCCAAATAAATGGGGTAAAGAAGATGCAGATGACAATATATGTACATGTTGTAATGTTACATTGCTAGCTATCGGGTTATAAGCCACATTACTAAAAATCCCTTTCCCTCCAATGCATGCGGGTTACCATGACTTCTTACATAATGACGTGATGTCTAAACTGCTGTTTGTAGCCAATGGATGTCTCTTACCATCAGGTGAGCCCTTAGTGTGTTCGCATTTCGGATTACATAAAAAATATCTATAATATATTATTACAGGTAATGGCGACAGAGTTGTCGCGAACAATGTCATGTGACGGTGAAGAGGCATCCGAATACCTGCTCAATCTATCACCGTTTGAAATGAAGAACTTGCTCTACCATATCCTGAGTGGAAAGGAATTTGCTATCAATAGTGGTATGAACAATTTTATACAGCAATAAAACCGAATATACGAGTATATCAATTGTTATACTTTTTAAGATAGGAAATATAGTCTGATCTCATACCGTGAGATACGACTAATTTTATAATCTACATATAATTTATATAAAATTATAGATTGTAATTAAAGCAACTTTGCTTATTTCATCTATCTGTTTGTTGACCGCATTACGGTTTACCCTATCATGACGAAAATTCGGGGTGGTTTATATGTATATACATACATATATACATAGCGTTACGGCCAACCATCAAATACACTAGAATTCCTAGGTGGGTCCCCAGTTTTAGTATAAAATTGACTTTTTATTTGCAGTAAACTCACTGTATGTAATACGGGAAAAGATCAGTAAAAGTAAAGGCGAGTGATACAAATATTTTGCTTTGTTGTGTGTTAAGTGTACAGCTGTAAAATCTTGTGATAGCTATTTTTATAATAAATTGTCCTTTCCATGTTTGTTAATGGTTGAGATCAAGACAAAAAAAAAGTTTTTTTTTGTCTGTTAATAATGATTCTATAGACATGTTTTTGTTCATTCTTCTCTTTAAATTCTTTAAAATTTTAGATTTAGTGATCTACTTAACTTATATTTATTTTAATTGGGACCTTCTAGCTACATATAATTATGTATATCCATTGAAAAATCTGTCTATATATTAAATCATTTAATATCATGTGTAATATGTTGTTAACTTTATTTAAATTGTCCTTAAATATGATCTGGAACTAAGATTTTATACCGATTTTGAAGTTACGTAAAAATGTTTTATTAAATTTTGTATATGTTACATGCAGTATGTTAATCTGTATGCATGGATTTAATAGTTTGTATATATATATATATATATTTGACCACATAAGAAAATAGTGTACAGTTTTAGTATAGACAACTTTTGACTGCATAATTAATATATCAGAAAAGAAATGAATAATTAATATATTTTACAGTTGGTCGTGGCAATTTTTCGGTGGTCAGCAACAAATCCAACAGATATGGGAAGAAATCGCAGATTGTATTGGAAGGCCAATCACTTCAGGGCACCATTGAAGATAGTAAGTTTCAACTCTTCATTATTTAATCAACCTTCAATTAATTATATTTATTATCAGCTTATGTTTGAGCATATTTGCACTTAATTTGAAACAGTATATTGTATAACATGCCAAAAAAATGTATTTTAAATTTTAGTTTATTGTTTTTTCAAAAAGAATAGTTGCTATATTTATATTTTTTATATTATACTCATGGTATTAATATACTCAAATAAAATAGAAGTTATGGATTATTTTATGTTGATTTATTACTTATACAAAAAAAAAAAGTTATCTATATAATTTGTTGCAGCACCTATAGTAGAAACTGATCGTCAAGGACAATGGCTCCGCCGGCGAAGATTAGATGGCGCTCTGAATAGAGTCCCTCGTGATTTCTATCCACGTGTATGGGGAGTTTTGGAAAAGGTATCAAGCCACTGTTTCTACATTATTAAAAAATAATAATCTACTTCTATTTAAGTATCAAATTAACATATGTTTAACTTATCTACGTTATATTTAAATGATGTTTTATGACGAGTGAAGACAATGACTATGCAATGTCATAATCATAGTAATAAACTATATTATACTTAATTACTATATGCAAATAAAGTTGACTTTGGAAGGCGGCCTAAATTTTATTTAATTATGGAATAAGTGCCTTGTAATTAACTCATGTAACATTCAAAACACATTTTTCTCTGCATACTTTAATTAAGCATATTGTTTTCAGTGTCAAGGTTTAATAATTCAAGGCAAAATCCTTCAGCCGAACTTGACACAAGAGATGACTTCTGGTGAATTGAAATTTGCTCTAGCAGTTGAAACAGTATTGAACTCGATCCCGCAGCCGGAGTACAGACAACTAGTTGTGGAAGCCTTAATGGTTCTGACGCTTGTGGTGGAATATAAAGCAGTTGGCCATTTGGGCGAAATGATCGGTGTCGAAAATTTAGTGCATAAAGCTAACCAGATATTTCTGGAAGATCAGGTGGGTTATTTGTTATATAATGTTATAAAGACATGGTGAAACGAGTGTGTCTGCACTCATAAAATATTTTGTGTCTTTGTTGGGCGTTAAGTACTAAACCTAGATGTTGTTTAGATGTTTAGATGCAACTCCTTACAAACACCTACATAATCATCATCATCTGCTTCTTCCTTCCTACATAATATTAGTGTAAATTATTTAATAATAATAATCATCTCAGGACAATTCACAGATCGCCATCTAGACCCAAGTTAAGCTACCTAAAGCTTGTGTTATGGGTACTAGATAACTGATACAAGTATATAGATATATTCTTTTTTGTAAATATACATATTATACATAAAAAACACCCAGACAAACAACCATACTCATGAATACAAATGTTTGTGCCGTGCGAGGAATCGAACCGGCACCATCGGTCGTGAAGCGGTGTGCTAGACCGCTAGACCGCTAGACCACCGAGGTCGTCATTTATTGATACAGTGATCACTACGAGAGTCTGCGTCAACGCAGCGTTTTTATCAGTAAACATAAGCAACCTTAACTCGGCAAAGAATATGCGTGTAAATGTAGACAAAAAGAACGAGAAGACCGCACGGCAGCGTGCTTCATGCGTTCTTCAAACGTGCGTGTTTAAGCGCCTTTTGTAGTAATTATTTATCTTTGCAAAATGGCGGACATCTGACTATGAAGGAAAAACATGTCATAGATTTATTGATTATTTTGAAATCTAATATAAATGGAATAAAAAATAAAATTTTAAAAGAAAGTGATTTGATATGAATCATACGCGCAAACATACGCTAAGAATGAACAAAAAAATAGTTGAATGCTCAAAATAGTTCCTCACGATTGCGCGCACTGGCTTTCCCGCGCTAAATCGGTGCTCTTAATGGCAATAGGCATTAGTAGGTGTTTAAATCTTTAATGTGTCGTGTAAAGGCAGTGATTTATGAAGCTTTATATTTATATACGAGTTTGTTTGACCGCAGATGCGTTGCAACGGGGACGCTACCCTATGTTGCGCTAAGGCTCCGTCCGAAGTAGCCGCGAGCGGGCTCCTGGTGTGTGGCGGCGCAGCCGGCGTGTGCCAGCACTTGTACGACAGTGCGCCCAGCGGCAGCTACGGTACCATGACGTACCTGGCCCGCGCGGTTGCCTCGCTACTCGCCGAACGCATACCCGACGCCGCACCCGTCCAGTGTGCCATCACGTGAACACTAATTTATATTACTATGATGTCCACGGCTACCTTACACCATCGCACCGCTCGCCATCGACAGTTAATTCATCACCACACGCTGGAACCTAAGTAGTCTTGGACAGTGCGGTTTCAGAGGAACTTATTACGGCGTACACTTAAATTGGGGAATGAACTGCCTGCCAAAGTTTTTCGAGAGACTACAGCATGGGGTTTGCCAAGTGTATATTAAGGTTTCTTGAGGGTAAGCAACGCTCACGTGGCTTCCCTGGTATTACAGGCCATCATTGGCTATGGTAATCGTGTATATCATCAGTTGGACCGAGTCCTTGTTAGTCATAGTATAAAAAAAATAAACTAGTGTTCCAGGCAGTCCATAGGCTACGGTAACCGTTTCGCATCAGATTGGCCGACTGGCTGGTTTGCCACTATCGTAGTATATAAAAAAAGTGACACGAAATTAATTATATTAGAACTTTCATAAGGGACAATTAATTAATTTCTTCGCATTCATTTTGTGATTTCTGTCCTCTGTCTCGAGGCAGGACTCGCAAATGTTAGTGATTGAATGAACTGTGACAAGGAACGATCATTGTCAGAGTTAGTTAAATTTGTAAGATGCCGAAAATTTTAAAAATTGAACTGTTTTCGCTAATAGTTCAAACGTGTTTTGATTATTAGATACATTACAATAGATTTTGAAATGTGAAGTCTCAAAATGTAGTACTCTTCTTAGCACTCTCATGTCACACTTTGTCGGACCCCTACCCTCTCTGAACGTATAGATCGCCCTTTACTGAACTCTCGAAGTATATAATATGTATGAAATTGCCCGTATGAACTAAAGAAGAATACGTTTTAATCGTTATATATTACACATTATATTGCGCTTAGTTTATAAGATTTTATTATTTTTATAGATAGTTGTATTTTGGCTCGTTACTTCTCTTAGGTTAGTCAATCATTTATTTATTAATAATAATAATATATATCATTACAATTATGAAAAATAATATCCCCCGTTTAGAACGAACCAACATATAATCATTACATATTAATATAATAAATAAATCTTCTAAAATAGGCTTCATGTTAATAACAACAATTACATGGTGAAAGTGTTAGGATCAACTTTATTTTGAAAGTCTAGTTCACGTATCTTACGTGTGATATGCTTACATAATAATACCAAGAGGTAGAACATTTTAGTTGTTAGCTTGCTTATGATTATATTATTTATACTATGTTTCGTCACAAAGTTAATAACAGATCAATATTTTTAATAACATTCTGATAATACAATATATTTTCTTATTGTTAATAAGATTAGTGCATCTTGCTTAAAACTGTACAATATTGAAATATAATAATTCTTGACATTATACTAAATATAGTCATTTAACCTTCATTTCGATTGTTATTTTTTATAAAGAAATATATAATGTATAGACCAATATTACTTTTATTCTTGTCCTCTTCCTATTTCATAATTAATCAACAAGTACAATGTTAAGGTTGTGTGAAGTCCTATGTATTCTCATTATCCCGATGTATATTGAGGTTATTCTAATTTTATTTGCAGTACATAAATTTTGACATGATATATTGTTTAAAGTACCTATGACATTTTTATTGTATTATCTACAATGACACTGTCGTGTAGCATTGAATGCAGATTATTTAGTAGCATCTTATATAAATAATGTCATCAGTATAAACTTATTATTATTGTCAAGTGTATCTCCCATGTAATATAATATAAACTGTTTATGATCTTCTATACCTTCGGCCGGGCATCTAATCTTACTCATTCTTACTATTGCAGTCTTGTCTATTTTTTCCAAATCTGATATTAGTTCCAACAAGCTTTCATTAGTACGCAATAAAAGGGGCAATTATAGGCAACAATGTATATATTATCTTAGTATCAATGTATATTTATCTTTTATTATTAGACAACTGATACAAATACTTATATAGATACATAGTATACATAGAGAACACCCAGGCCAATGTAAACAATTATACTCATGAATACAAATGTTTGCGTCGTACAAAGAATCGAACACGCAACCATCGTAATTAAAGCAGTGTGCTAAAACGCTAGACTACTGAGATTGTCATATATAAAATAAAATACTACATGATATATCTGGACGGGATTTACGAATTAAAACAACAATATATTGAAACAACTCCTCTATCTACTTTAAATATTACATCAAGTCTAAAACAACAATTTTACATAATTTGTCTCTACATTGGTTACTAAGCTTCATCTTTTTTACCAAATGGATTCATTTTGGCTAGCCATGATGTAGTATTTCTGAAAATAATATAAATATTGATCACTTAAAATAATAATATGAAATTTTCTGCATTCCTTTTATAAAAAAATATATTTTATTTAATGTAATTGGAATGGCATACTAGTTGAAGGCCCACCAGATGGTAAACCATAGCCTAGATACATGAAAACCAGTATTGACATCACATTGCTCATTCCAGAAGACTAAGATATTATGCCACTTTTATTATCCTGTAATTTCATAATCTAATCATCCTTTTAATTTATAAATCAAGCTGTTAACTAGGTGAAATTGGTGAAACTAATGTACCCTTGCAGACAACAATACAAAGATTTTTTTTACAAAATTATATTTTGTAATGAAAGATAGCTAATATCTAACGTCATTATACAATCTATTTAAATTTAAACTAGTTCTGACATATATCAAAAAAAGATAAACCGACAGCTCTTTTTTGGCATTTATGACATATTTCTTTTTGCCTAGCTTATCTGTCATCTTATTATAATAATCTATGAGGACAATAATAATTAACTTACGATATTTCATCAGCAGAGGCCTTGTTCCCTTCAATGCCTGCTGCTTTAAGTTTTTCAACAAGGTTCTTTCTATAGACATTTTTTAAAGGAATTGGTTTATTGGCTGCTTCCTTTTGTTTAGCCATTTTGTTTAAAGCCTCATACCAGGTTAAACCATACCATTCAATTTCTTCAGGTGTATACTGCATAAATGTAAATCAATGCATATTGAATTATTCATGTATAGATATGAGGGGCATTACATTATCAAATATACATTTTTAAGCCATAAATACCTAATGAAATCAAAATTTATTTCAGTTGTTCCTAAGTGTTTTAACAATATATTTAATACATATTCTGATAACAAAAGTACTTTCACATATTTATCTGGCTTTCATCCCATATATTTGATACTGTATATTGCACAATTGCAATCATTACATGGAAATCAAAATAAAATGATTGTTATCCAATTGGAATACTCTGAAACAACATATTGGTGCATTGCAGTAAGATTTTTAATGAAAAATGTGGATATGAATATATAATTTTATATTGAAATAGAGACAGCCTACAGGGTGGGCACTCCCATACGAACAAAACCATAGACCAATTTATGAATACACATGTATTTTTATTATGTGGTATTATAAAGCTATAACAATAAGATACTTACAGATGACAAGTATGTCTTATATTCGTCATAAATTTCTTTCTGTTTCTGCTCATCATATGCATATCTTGGACATCCATTCATAAGCTCAGTAAGTATTTGCTTTTTTAATTTCAAAGCAAGCATGGACACTAAGTCACAGGCAGGTGTTTTGAGCAAGTAATGATCAAACCCATAATGGTCATGGATTAACCTAATTGTCCTATCAGTGACAGTGACAGAGAGGTGGGTGTTTAGCACCTCTGACTTTACCACAGTTCTCTTCAAGACTGGCACCCAGTAATGTGGAACACGGCGACGTAATGGATCACGTTTTTGAAAACCTGAAATAATTTATAAGTAAATTAATTTACTCACTACATTCTATTCAATCAATTCCGGAATATTTTTTGTGATACATTATGTAATTTTAAATTCCAGCAGATTTGTTCTATAGGCATGTACTTAAATAAAAAAAAGTATATTTTTTTATTAAATTTGAATGGCCATTATGCTGTTGGCCCACCTGATGTAAAGTGGTAAACTGATTAATAGCTGGTACTGTCGATTTGCATCATAGATTATATTGTGATAGTATCTCATGCATTGTCATTCCTGAAGATTAAGCCATTTTGCCTTCACAGCTTAGTTGTTATGTACATTTGTTTGTCCAATGTGATTATTATTTGATTGTAGTTAGCTACAGACAATGATATTATTTCAATAACTAACAACATAATTAAAAAATATAACAATACAATGAGAATTTAATCAATTTTCTATTTGATATTTATTTATACCAATTGCCTTATATTTTTACAATCTACTTCATAAGACATATACAGATAAAAAGAGATAATGAAGAAAAATATTTGAACACAAATGATACCAAGAATTCTAACCTTTTAGAACAGCTTCACCACCCCATATACCATCATGAATTTCTGCTGGATATTTCAGTGGTAAAGGTATGTTTTGAATTGGTAATGTTTCTCCAGTGAGCTCGTCCCGTTTCCACTTCCCTTCTTGAGGAATAAAGTGAACCGCAGCTGGCTTTAGAACTTTCCATTCATGCCAAAATTTTTTGTAAGCCTGAGGTAATTCTGATGCTATACCAACTTCAAATCTACTTTTTCTCTTATACGTTTTTGATAAATGCCGCGCAGTTGCCTGAAAGTAATAAGAAAGGTCGTGAGCAAGGTAAGATAGACCTTGCGTGAGAATAATAAAAAAAATAATTATCCCACCTGAATACGAGATGAAGCCATTTAACTATATTGTATCGATTTTGATAAACTACTGACTCAATAACAAATAAATTTTATTCTTGAAATGTAATTTTAAAGTGTAACCATGAATAATATAATCTTTATTCAACGTCAATGAATAATTGGCAAGATAAGACTGCCATACAATTTGTCATTTTTGACAATACCAATTTGAACGTTTTGAGAAAAGTTCTTGTTCTTAGGCTTTGAGGTGTCAAACTGCCAAAACTATACTCTGCGCAATGTAAGCAGTTGGGTGACGTGGATGAAAAAAATGGCAAACTTATTTGACACTTTCGAGCCAAACAAGTGCTAAGTGGTGGTGGTGGTTAATTATGTTTATTGTTAATTATCGACCGAAAACAGAATATTTATTTTATTTTTCTCAAACAGTATATGAGTTGTTATAGTTTGTTCTTATTTTAAATCACATTTAGTTTTGTGCATTCATGTTCTCAGAGAGTAAAAAACAATGTCTGACAATAAAAATGTCGAAGAATCCCTTGAAGGCAATCCATCGGATAATATTGGCAGCAATTTAGCAACAATACCAGCTAGCGACATATCCAGCATCGCAGGAAGTGTTAAAATTACAAAAGTAATTAAAAATAGTAGTAATATACTTATCTATTCAATATTCTTACACTCATATTTTGTTACTTACTTGTCACTTCAAGGATACTTTTATGCGTAATTCTATTACTACGAAAGATTATTTAATTCTTTTTCTATAATATACGTTTTGATGTAACAATATTTAGCATTAATCTAAAATTCATGTGTGCTTACAATAATATTTGAAATTGCATAAAGTGATTTACATAACTAAGCCATATGGGTATGTTTTACAGACACCACATCGCGTTTCATCTTCTTCCGAGAGACAAATAAAAGTTGAGCGAGCTCAGAGAGTTTTAGAAAATGCTGCGCTTGTCTCAAAACATATTAAAGAACGCCGGAAAGCAACTGCAGAACTGTTGGGACGACCATTTGATGATGGTAATTTGTTGTAAATATGTTATTTCAATATTTTTGCCATAATAATAATAACCATGGACTGCACACAGCACCCTCTAGTCCTAAAAGCTAATCAAAGCTAAACTACTAGATACTAAACCACAGATAAAAAAACTTCTATACATATTTTTTTAACATAATATATGTAAAATACCCAGACCAATACAAACAATTATACTCATGAATAGAATTTTTTTGTAAAGTGCAAGAAATTGAATCCCCATACCTTTTCAGGGTATATATGTTTTTGTTAATAATGAAAATGAATTCTAAATGAAACAAAATAATTATTTTATTTTGTTTACTGTTACTGTTTTTTAATAAAACCTGTTTTAATTGTCTGCTTTCTACTTTTTATAGATGAAGATGTTGGAGACAGTGCTTCTGAAGTTGCATCCACCATGAGCAAAAAATCGGGTTACTCAGTAGCAACAGACACTTCAACAGCTTTATCTGTAAAGGAGGCCTTGAACAGTAAGTATATAATTTATCTATAACTTAACTTACTTATGTTATATTAATTATAGTTCTTTATTAAAGATTTTGTAAATATATGTTGTATGTACAAAAATGGAGTTAATGTATGAACTTTTTATTATAAAATTTGGATAATGTCTGGCACACAATATATAAAATATATAAGTATACGTGTATATGTCCATTTTTGCTTTATTCCCCTCTAACTGTAACCAACTTATTAATCCAGTAGTACATCCAACATTTGTATCTATTCAATAGTTTTAACTTGAAAGAGTTCAAACAGCCATCTATTTTCAGAAACTTTCTTATATATACTTTCAGATCTTTCATATGACATGACTAATTTAGAAATAATTGAAATCATGTCTATTTAATCATAAGTATCAATTACTGTTCATGAGTTATATATTCTCATTTCAGTACCTGGTATTAGTGAAAATTTAGCAAACACACTAAAACAAAAAGAGCTGGTCATGGAGAGGATAAAACAATATAAAGAAATAAGTAAACGACCATCATTGATAAAATCATCACCAATCAGTAAAAAGGACTCAAGTAATGAATTGAAGCCAGATGTCAAAAGAGTAAGACAGCATTTTGTTTTATAGAGATTTAGTGTGTTATGATTATTATGATATAAAAATATCTATATATGTTTTTTCTATTTTAAAGCTTTTACAATGCTTATATATTCTAGAAATTTATAGACCATTTCACAATTGGAAACAAATTAAGTCTCAGCCAGTTACTATAGTACTCTACATAAATACATTTTTTTGGTAAATACAGACATAATATACATAGAAAATACCTAGACCAATACAAGCAATCATATGCAGGAATACAAATGTTTTTACCCTGTGAAGAATTGAATCTGCAATCATCAGCAGTAAGTAAAATTGTCAGACCACTGATGCAATCATATACATAATTGATTGTTAATGCAGGTATCAGAGATCAGCAATGTATCCCAACTAATGAACACAGTAAAGGAGAAAGAAAATATGGTTAGTATAATGCAAGTAAAATTGAGAGCAATGGAAACTACTATATTGGAGTTACAGGAAAAAATCAATGAAAAGGACCAAATCATAGAAGCTAAAAATATGGCGACCAGCTTGATGTCAGATACTCTCAGTAAAAAAGGTGAAGAATTTGTGTTTTATTTTTATCTATTTACTACATTTACAATTTACCGAATGCAGCTTGCTAGCACATGCTCAAAATACAACACTCAGCTGAGTGTCCATCCTGTAGACAACACTACCATTCTTAATTCGTAAATTTATGCCAGAGGGTGTCATTAAATAAGAAGTCTTGCACTCAATGAACTGCAGACTATCATTGCCATCTGCCAACCAATCCTATTACAGTAAACATTGATTATATACATTGAATAAAAAATCTATAGTAACATATAAAGGTGAAATGTTTGTTATTTGGCTACAAGCAATAATAATATGATTAAAACTAAAATGTAACTGTAATTTATTGTAAGATTACCACCATACCCATTTATTTGTGTTATAAGTTGTTACAAATTTTTTTAACATTTCTTTTATAGAAAAAGATTCAATGTTATTGCTGGAAGATACTAAACAACAAATGACCAAAATGCAAGAGAATTTTATAAGCATGGAAACAGAGTGGAAAGAAGAAAAACAGAGATTGCAGAAAGAGATACAGGTACAAGATGAAAAAATTAACAGTTTAGAAGAAGCTAATACTATTCTGGAAAATACACGATTTGAAGTCAGTGTAGCACATTCAAAATTAGCTGAAGAATTGGACTTAAAGAATAAAGAAATTTTACAATTACATGATAAAATTGAAAAATTATCTAAAGAACATCTTGCTACACCGGAAGAAGAAAAGGATACTGTAGACGAAAAAGGTTCTTTGGAAATATCTAATATGATTGAATTAACGAAAAAGATAGAATTATTAGAACAATTAAATTGTCAAATAAGACAAACCAATAAAGATCTAGAAAACAAACTTGTTACTATTAGTGAACAAAAAACTGCGTCTACTACCTCACCACTAAAAAAACAAAGCCCACTTCCAGCCCGTAAGGGTAAAAATACCGGTAAAAGTAAGTCGCCTTGGAGTAAATTGACATCAGAATCACTACCTCAAGAGTCAGAAACAAAACTACAAAAAAGTGAAGCAGCTAAATTCGAAATGTTAATACAATCCTTAAATAAAGAAATATTAGAAAAAGAATATGTGATATCGCAGAAAAATATGTTGATATCTGAATTACAATTAGAAAATTCAGAAAAAGAAGCTAATCTAAATGTTCTTAGAGATTCAAGAAAAGAACCTACCCAGAACACAGCTGATATCGGAATTACAGCAAATATTAATGACAATATTCCATTAGTATGTAATACAGAAGTATTAAAAACAACTGACACTGACTCTGGTGATAAACATTACAGTAATATTAAACAACTTGAAACTGAACTAAATGCTGCTCAACAGCAAATTGAAGCGTTAAATCAAGATATAGATACAGCCAATAAAAATATGATAAAAGTAAAATCTAACCATAAATTGAAAATTAAACAGATGCATAAAACAATTGAAAATTTCAGTAAAGTGTCAGATGCAAATGCAGAAATAATAAAACTCAATGAAGAACTTCATCAACTATCACAAAAAGTTGCTGAGCTGGAAGAAGAAAAGGGTAATTTGCAATTACACCTTGTAGATTATGACAGTGGTAGATGTGAGTATATTTATAGGAAATAATCAGATGTCTTTTTAGTATATCTATTTTGTATAAAAATTACAATATTATGTTTATCTTTTCAGTAACTGAGTCAGATGTTTATAAGAAGATGATGGAAATGGAAAATTTGGCAGAAGTGAGACTTAAAGCTATTAGTTTACTGGAAACTCAAAAATTTGATTTAGTGCAAGGTAAACTGTACAAGTTTTACTGTACATTTATTCACAATAGATTTACACAGTAATTTTATTTACTAATGCTCTATAGAGACTTTTTTTTGTCTACTGCATAGTAGGTGGTAAAAGATGGAAATAAAACTGCTTTTACATTATGACTTTAGTAAAACCTAATGAACTGATTTTTGTACGTAATTAATATATTTATACTATTAATTCAATAATTAAATTTATATAGGTTCTTTGGTATGTGCATGTGCTTATAATCTTCTTTAAGATATAAATTATATCTGTAAAAATGATTATATCTTTTAATTATTTACAGAATTACATGTATTACAACAAAAATATGTAGAGGCAGAGGATAAATTAGCAGACATGTCTCAGTTTCAAAATGAACAGGTCTGTTCTGAAATGAAGTCCGTGCAATTAGAGGAACAGATTGATGGACTTGAGGCCTCCAAAAAAGAATTAGAATTAATTGTTGAAAATTTGAAACTAGATAAGGATCAACTAAATGGAACCATACAGTTATTACAAGGTGAAAAGGAGGAACTTTTGCACAAACTGGAAAATTATATACAAGAAAATATTGAATTGACAGATAAACTTGAGAAATTAAGTCCTGAAAAAGTAAGTTCGGCAGAATCGATCGAAATAGTAGAGTCTTTAACAACACAAGAAAAGTTAGAATTAGAGGAATACAACAAAGGCAAAGTTAGTGATGACCTTGGTGATGATTACAAAGTAGAGGCTGCTCAAACTAGTGAAAAATCACCAGAGATTTTACTAGAACAAGTGTCTGAATTAAACAGAAAAATCGAACTATTTTCCCAGGAAAGGGAGGAAGTAATGGAAAAAATGAATAAGATTAATTCAGAAAATCAACATTTACATAAAGAAATTGAAATGCAAACTAATCAGTGCAAGATATTACAAAGTAATATAGATGTCTTAAATGAAGAAAAGAATGAAATACTAAAATTAAATGACATGCTTAATAATCAAATAGACGAATTAAAGCGAGAACGAATAGAACTAATGAAAGAAACTGTAGAAATTGCAAAAGCCACAAGCCTCGATGAGGGAGGAGATACAACAGGCATAACTGATTTGCATCAAGATGATAAACCGACAGGCGAAAAAGGAGGCAGAAATAAATCTGTTAAACAATTAACGAAAGAAATATTGAAATTGAAGAATACGATCAAAGAGAGGGAGGAGGAGATAGCAGATTGTCAGATGAAGATATTGTCATTGGAAGAATATCAGCAGAAGCAAAATGAATTAATGCAAGACAATATGTCTTTTGAAACGAAAATTAAGCTGTTAGTGGAAGAAAATCAACAACTGAAAGATAAGATTGAGAGTTTAGAACAAGATAAAAACACAGAAAGGCAATTGTTACAATCTGAACAGTATGAAAAAATACAGGAAGAATTACATAATGTTCGACAAGAGTATACGGCTACAATTAATACACGCGATTCTAGAATACAGGAACTAGAAAATCTTCTGTTAGAATACGAGAATAAGATATATAATTATAATAATGCATTGAAAGTAAAAGACAAAGAACTCACAGAATATGTAAACCAGGTTACCAAGTTGAATGATGTTTCACACAAACTAAAGTCAACTATCGAACTACTTGAAGAAGAAAAATTAAAAGGTCAAAATGCTGATATTGTAAAGTCATTGAACAAGCAAATTTCTGCATATCAAAAAAAAATTACAGAATATGAAGAAAAATTAAGAAATCTAGAAGATGAAAAAGTTCAGTTACTTTCTTTAAAATCTGTCCTGGAAAACAAAAATATCAATTTAGACAATGAGTTGAAAAAATTGCAAGATTCATTTGTGGAGAAACAAAATTTGATTAAGGAATTGCAGTCTCAACAACAAAAACATATAGAGGAGGTATCTAATGCCAAGCTACAAGCGAAGGAACGTGATGAAGAGATTCACGAAATCAAACTACAATTACGGAAAGAATCTATAGAAAATGAAAAGCTTCGCACAAATCTATCCCAAAAAGATAAATCTATTGAAGACATTACAGAGATGTTGCAAGAAAATAAAGAAAACATAGAAAAAACTATTTTGGAGAAAAGTCAAATTAACGAACAATACATTTTAATGGAGACTAAAAATAAAGAATTAATGGAAAAGTTAAAGAAATTTGCAGTTAATATTAAGAAAAAAACAGCACTGTACACTGAATTGGAAAATCAGTTGATGGAAACTCAAAAACAGCTTGAGGCCAAAAATATACATATTGAGCAGTTACTAATACAAGTGGAAACCTTACCTGCATTGCAAGAAAAAGTGAAACATGCTGATGAAGAAGTAAATCGGCTTTTGTTACAAAAAAATACTATGGAAAAACAAAAATCTGAAAATGTTTCACAATTGCTGTCACAAGTACAATCACTTGAGGAAAGAATAGCCATATCCTCTGGAGAAGTTTTGAAGTTGAATGATTTACTTAACGTTAAACAAAACGACCTGCATGCGATGTCTGAAGAAAATAGAAATCTTAAGAATCAAATAGATACTTTACAAAATAAATTAGTTGAATATGAGATAGATCAAAAGAACAGTTTAAATTTTATAACAAAAATTTCTAGTTTGGAAAGTGACATAAATCAAAAGGAAAATCAGATTTCAGATTTGTTATATAAACTTGAGAATCAAGAACAGCAGTTAAATCAGTTACATTTTGGCCATAATGCCAAAGTCCAGGAACGTGATTTATATATAGAAAATTTGGAAACTGAAATACTGAAATACAAAAATCGTATTGGGCGTTTAGAAGAAAGTGTATCAATCATGGAAGACAGAAGACATTCGTTAGAACGCAAGGCAGATCAGTTAGATACTCAGTTACAAGAAAAGCAAAAAGCTTATAATGAATATTCAAGTCATGAGGATGAACTGGTTAACAGACTAGCTGTGCTAATGGATCATGATAGAGTTGTTGAAAAACAGCTTCATGTTATAGAATCCGATAATAAAGAGTTACATCATAAAATTCAACATCTTAATGATGAAAATCAAAGACTTAGAAAAGCTGTGTCTGATATACAAGAACACTGTAATAATCTAGTTGAAAAAGCAAGCAAAAGTGATTTCGCTGAAGCTGAAATAGTGAAATACCAAGAACAGATACACGACTTGGAGACAAATCTGAAACGTGTTACACATGAACACCAAATACTGTTAGTTCAACGGAAGCAAGATATAGAAGATTTAGAGTCGGAATTTAATGTACAAATTGAAAATGCTATTAAAGAAAAGAAGGTTTTAAGTGAAAAGTATGAAAAAATTAGTGATCATGTTTGCCAATTGGAAGTTAAACTTCAGGAATATAGGAACAACATTGAAAATCTTAATTTGAACTTAGAGGACCTTAATAAAATTAATTATGATTTGGTTGAAAAAGCAGCAAATAAAGTTCAGCCTGTTTTACCAGATTATACAGAACAGTATGTCAACGAAATAAACAAATTGAATTCCATTATTAATAATAAAAACCAGGAAATTCAGGATCTTAATAATAAAACACAAACAATACAAAATAATAATATGGCAGTGGTATCTAACTTTGAGAGCAGTATATTAGATTTAACTCATAAATTACAACAATATACTTTGCAAATAGATCATCTTAATAACGAATTAAATATTTTGAGAGAAAGTACTGAGGAACTACAAAAACAACTACTACATAAAGAAGAAGTAATAAAGGATTTAAAAGATAAAAAAAAGGTTATATTTGAAATGAATATTCCCAAAACTGAAGGTATGGTTATTTCATCTACAATTGAAGCAGTAAATGAAGAGGATCCTAAATTCGATATATCATCTATTCAATCTCAAATAGTTTCGGATACAGATCGTTTAGAATCGGAAAATAATTCTGCTATCTTGAAAATATCTGAATATTTTCAGGGTAATTCTGCAACTAAAATTGATTCAAATGTTGATAGTTCTATAGAAGCTGCAATTGTACCTAAAAAAGCGTATATGTGTTACAAAGGCGAAGGTAGAGAAGATGATTTAAATATTGGTGAAGATCCATTTAATTCAGATGAAGGTTGGGGATTAGGAGAATGTCAAGAACAAGAAGACGTAAGTGCAAATTTGTCTTTTCTTAATGATCAATTATTACAGTTAAAAAAAGATAAGGAGGTTTTAAAATCAGATCTTGAGACAAGCAATAATAAGCTGGTCAAAGCTTTAAGAAAACTGAAGGAATTGAAATCAAATAACGATATGTTATCTAAAGAATTAAAATTGTCAAAAGAGTTGCCTCAGAGTTCAATATTAGATACTGCTATTGAAGATGAATTACGAAACAATGTTCAGGAGTTAGAGAAGAAGATTGAAAATCTTAACGCAGAAATTAATAAGGAAAGACGCGAAAAAGAAGCTATTAGGAAGCAGAATGAGGTATTCAGTAGTGCCAATGACAGATGGACAGAATTGAAAGAGAATTTAGATACTGAAATTGAACTGTGGAAATTTAAATTTAAGGAAGTTAATGATAAATTATCTACTGTACAGTGGGATGCTAAAGAATATTCAGACACCAAAACTTCAGGAATTCAATTAAATACAAGCGATCATGTAGTAAAAGAAGAGATGATGAAACTTGAAACTGAAAATGACGAATTACAACAAATGGTTGACCAATTAACTGTGAAAAATAAAGAAATATTGTCAAATGAAGCCCAATTGTTAAACAAAATCAATGATTTACAAAATCAGGTACAAATACAATCTTCTTGTAGAGATTGTGAAAGTATGAGTCATCATTTGGCAGATTTACAAACCAATAACACTGAACTTTTAAAAAATAATGATTTTTTAAAAGATACGCTAAGCCAACTTGAAGTAAATTTTAATGAAGTCTCACATAACTATGAACAGTTAAAGTTAAATAAAGAAAAAATGGAAAAAGATTTTGAAAGTAATATTAAAGATTTGACGGAAAATTGTATTACCTTACAAAACGAAGTGAAATCTTTAAAAATATTGGAAAGCGAAGCTAATAATAAAATAACTAGTCTCCTTCAAGAAATAGAAGCTGCTAAGCTTATCGAAGAACCACAAAATGATGCAAAATTACAAGCTGATATGTTATTATTATCTGAAAAATACAATACTGTAGAAAATAATTATAATCGGTTAAATGGTGCCCTTGAGGCAGCAAATAATAAAATTGTTCATTTAGAATCTCTTAAGAATGAGTATGAAATAAAAATAAGTTCTTATGAGCAACAAATACTTAGTTATGAACAAAAGATTCATGAGTTAGAGCGACGTGTATCTGAGCTGGGTTCTAAAACTGAACACAATTCACCTACATCTATAGAAACCGAAAATAATGATGATCGGATTAATCAACTCCATTCCAAAATACAACAACTGAATGCTGAGAACGATCAGTTGCTATCAACTGTAACCGAACTGCGCTCATCTGTGTCAAGTGCTGTAGATCAACGTGGATTTGAAATATCCGAGTTATGGAAACAACATTTAGCACAAAGAGAGTCAGATTTTCAAAAGACCGAACAAGAACTTAGGTCAGAATTAAGTGCATCTGAAGCAAAGTATGAGCAACTGTTAGATAATGTACAATCATCAAGTCAAGAAGAAACTAATAAATTGATTATAATGGAACAAATAAACTCCCTACAAAATAAACTACAAGATAAAGAAGAACATCTACATAATCTTCAAAATAAGTATGCAGAAGTAATAAATCAATTAGACATTTTGCGGTCTGAAATAGAAGATGAAAAGGTTATTCACGATAATAAGTTACTTGCACAACAAGATGAGTATGAAAAGTTAATTCAAGAGTTAACAATGACAAATCAACAAAATACAGAAAATTATGAACAGAACTTAAATAGTATTAAATCTGAACTAAACATAACCAGAAATAATACTAATGATATTGAAAAACAATGTGAAGAAGTAAAAGAGTGCTTAAAAATATCTGAAGAAAAAAATATAGACTTGTCTAATCAAATACAAATAAAAGAAAGTGAAATATATCAGAAAACGATGGAATATACTCACACATTAGCACAAAGAAACGAAGAGTTTGAGAACATTAGGAAACAATTAATTCAATATGAAAACAAAATAGAAGAAATAAGCTTTGAGAAGGAATCGGAATTGGCTATTTTGAGATTAAAGATCCATGAAAATAATGAACATTATGAAAAATATAAAAAAGATTTAGAAAATGATAATATAACATTAACTGAAACATTAAATGCTAAAATTGTAGAATGCACAAACCTCAACAAAAATATTACTGAATTGAACCGGTTATTAGAAGAGCAATCCAAAACAGCTATTGACATGCAAATGGCACTAGAAAGCCAAGAAGTGGAAATAGTTGCACTTAAAGATGAGTTATCCAATTTGCAACAAAATTTACGAGCATCCAGTAGTAAAATAGAAAAACACGTTACTTTCGCGTCTGGAACGAAATCAGGGATGGAACCAGATATATCTGAAGGTGCATTAAATAAGGAATTATTGGATGCAGTGCCCAGAGCTGAATTAGATTTAGCATTGTATATGTTGCATCAAAGAGATGTTCGATGTGAGGAACTTACGATGGAGCTGACGCAACTGCTCGAAGAGAGGGATACATTGCAACTACGCTTGTCAGATAGTCTGCGTTCTAACGAAGAATGGAAATCTAAATGTAAGACAGGACAGGAAAGATCGGGTGGGGACGAGGTTATGAGCTCTAGTCAAGAGACAATATCGGATTTACCGACGTTTACGGTAGAGAAAGAACAGCCATTTGTAGACATTCACCGCGGTCAAACATCACGGAGCAGCAGTATAAGCGATCAGGATGGAGACAAACCAAAATTACAGGCCAAGTAAGTATAGCATTACCATTTTTAGTTAAATAAAAAAATACTAGTATATAAATACACAAAGACAGCACGTCATAAAGCTTGAGCTAGTTATATATAGAAAACATATAGAGTGTAATGTACAAGTGTCCCATTCAATACTATCGAATGGCATAGTGCAACCACCTGTGCTAAGTCTAAGTCTAAGGCTAAGTCACCTGTTATAATGTCTGGAGACATTATTACAAATTTGTTTATGAATTATATGGTTCGAAGAGAATTAGCAGCAGTACAACTACATTGTCATGTGCCATTTGAGAGGTCTACGATGTTATGATTCGAATCCTGAAATTTGACTGTCTAATCTCAACCGAATGGTAGCATACAAGCTTACAGAATATGATTTCCTAGATTATCAGAGCTACGCAGCGTAAAGCATAGCCGAGATGTGCGGCTGAGGCACGAGAGTGAACAGCGGCAGATGGATTTGCGGTTGCTACAACGCGATGTTGCCAATCTACCGCCAGAAGCAGTTGACCAGCTGGCGCAGGCGCACCATACCCTTTGTAAGTGCACTAAATATCGTGCCATCGCTCCAATGGCGTCATAGATAAAAAAACAAATTAGCGAAAGAAAATGCGTTTTTCAAATTTTCTTTCATTTTTCACTTAAAGTTCTAGAATAAGCCTATTTTATTAAAACATATATCTAACATAACACTGTTTGAGATAAAAGTATGAATTCCAACAGTACACTACTAGAACAGTAGTACAGTTACACTAATAAAAAATATTTTGATATCTTATTTACTTGGAATAATTAAAATAAAGTGCGTCATATATATTTTTAATGCAGATGTATGTGTATTCAGACATTTGTATATTATACTAAATATGCTTCGTAGTTACAAACACCGTTTTATTTGAAAGAATGGCGTCCACCCAATTTATAGCATCACCCGTGTTATTTCTTTTCTCTCGGCCTTCATTATGATTTTATTTTTATGATGGTTAGCTAAGTATCGTAGAGTGATGTTAAATGGTTTATAACTTTTCACAATACTTGGGCCATCAGATAAAAAGGTTTTTTTTTTAATTTCCAAGTAACAGATCTAGAGATCTGGTGCACAATCAAACAAACTTTTAAGTTTTGTATATTATGTATAAATTTCGACTGGAAAATAATTTCAAAATGACAATTTTGTACCATTCGTGAGAAAAATATTCAAAAACCAAATAACGGAGACATGACTGAGGAAATCAATGGAACCCTCCTGTTATCGAAAATTGAGCTGTTTTCATAAGAACTTTAATTAGAAGTCTCCGTTATTCTATGTATTAACATTATATTAAAAGAAACTAGTAAAAGAAACAAGAAAGTTATCTTTGATTGGAAGGTATATTTTTTAAGTTTGTACTTATGTTATTATTATATTCATGTTTGATAAGCCTGTGTAGAAATTATTGAAATGAGAAAAATAACATTGTTTTTTTTTAACGTTTACAGCACGAGATTCCCAAAGCACGTCCACCGTACTATTAAACTGGCTTCGAGGAAAAAGCACTCCGAAAATAGTACACAATATGTAAGTTATAAAAAATAGGGTACACTATAACTATTAAAACGAGAAAATTAAACAATTCAAACGTAATTGCCTAAGTCTCATTGTTGTAGTCAAAAATATTTCTGTTTTATTGTTTATATATGTACTTACATCTTTGCATTTATCGCATATAATTTCCACCGCCCAGCACGACACAATTATTAAATGTTTGTAAAAACATTTTTCTAATTGTGATACTTATATTTATCTTGCCGACAGACATAAATCGAACACTATTACTTTAATAGTTTTTATCTTTTAACTTTTATAATATTTCATAGTGAGACTAATAAAAATTTGAGGCATGACACCGTTGTCCTTCGGAATGGCAACTATAGGGAGTATCACGCGCGTCACATGACGTCGTTATATCCGTTGTGTTAATAATGTATATATGTATATAGGTGACAGTTGTCACATACCATCAAGTAGGCCGTCAGCTTGTTTGCCATTCCAGTCACATAAAAGAAAAAACTTACTGACAGATAAAGGTTACAAGCCCATGTAATTGCATCAGCTATGCTCACAGCTCTCTTTTTTACAAGAAAATCTATTTTTATTCATTATTTTCACCTGAACTTTTGACATTCTACTTCCTTCAAATATGGTGCATATTATATGTTATAGTAACTATAGTTTTATAGATGTCTGCTTTGGCAAGTACGAACGAACGAGATAATTCTTAAATCCAATGCATTCCTGTCTATGTTACATTTTGAGAATTGCTAGACTGAAATAAAATTAATAGGCACTGATTCCATAAAGTCTAAAAACTCTGGTATCAAAAGTTATCTCCATTACTAATTTTTTTTTCGAAATTATTGACTATTATTTATCTATGATGTTACTTGTGTACAGAAATATCTTCTCGAAACGTGTTCTAAAGTTATAGAAACGATTTCAAGGTGTGCCTTCTCGTTCATAAACCAAATTGTAAATGTTATCTTATTCAGAGTTGTTGATCACCTTTATTGTTTTTTTATTAAAAATAATACTTGTATAATTTAATGTATATATTATAATCAATGAGGTTTACAATATATATTATGTAAACCTTTGTATTACAATTGTAAATTTGGTTTTCATTAAAGGCGTTTCATTAATAGGACTGTTTTATTTATTTATTAATTCCTATTATTTTTAGGGTCAGGTAGAAAAAATTTAATACAACCATAAAATAATGTTGAATAATTTTATTTCTTTTCAATATTTACATTTCAGCTTTTCAACGAACATACATGCAAAGACAAACTCAATGTAATAATCACATATTAAATCAAACTCTTGATTCTTGCGTGTCATATACGTGTTTCTTAAAGATTACATGAAAAAACATAAAACACCCTAACACGGTGCGATTCTATAACACTATTTACAGCATAGGAAAATCAACATTATTTCACTAATTTTGACATAAACCTAATTCACAATAAAAACGTAACTTAATCTCTTAATATTATATGTCAAGAAGCCAGTCCAAAAGCCAAACAATAAGCATTATATAAGACTAACCTTGTAATGCGTATATTTTCCCACATAATTTTACATACAAACTAACAAATATAACTTTCTATATTAAAGTCAGATTCTAATGCCTAAAATTAATTTTAGGCAGCGCTGTTTGCCACAACCATAAACTGTAACTTACTTCTGTAATATATTAGAAATTGATAATAAATATTAATTAAATGTGTAACTGTGTCATTTGTATATTTATAATTTATAGATATTTTATATAGGGACTATTTCAGTGTGACGAGGTATTTACATAAACATATCACTATAGGTGTATATTTTAATAGTTATTGCTTTATAAAATACTTTATTAGTGTAGTTACTTATGGCACGACATGCTTTTAGCATTATCTAATTATATGAAACTATTTACAGTTAATTCTAAATTATCTACAAAGATCCCAGATCGCAATATTATCATTTAATAGTCTATATAATTAAGGTAGGTAATCGGGCATGTCATATTAATCATTATAATTATTGCCTGATTCCTTTATAAACTAATGGAAGACGATGATCTATATGTTTTTTTGTATACATTTTTAGTAAGCCGTATAGTATAATGGCATTGTTGAATATCTAGTATAAACTATATCATTTTCACGTGCTTAATATTTGGAAGTTCGTCTAATAAAAATCGTTGATTTCCTAATAATTAAACAAATGCACTAAATAATTTAAAAATAATGTTGATATTGTAGTACAAGAGAATTGGCATTTATTCTGAGATGTTTTTCAAACATTAAGCACGTGTTGGTTGCTATCTACTGTACTTACTGAACCTGTACAATTACTTACGTCTATCATTATCAATATAAAGTGCGTGGGTCACCCGTACTTACATAAAAAAGCAAGACACTTAAATTTTATAAAACTACTTATCACAATTTATAAAATTAGTGAACTCGAATTTTCATCTAAATTGTAGACATTAAGTACAAATTAGTGGAACTTGACTATTGCATATTATTTCCAATGGTTTCAAATATAGGAACAATAATATGAAATTAAATTACTAAATACTATATCATAGATATCTTATTTGATACGAATCTAAATCACATTTTTTTATATTTTTTCCTAACATTAAACAAATCTTACATAATAACTTGCTAACGTATTATGACTGGAAATGACTAAAATATGAAGTCCGCCGATCAACTTTTAACGCTATCACATTCACATTTAATGCTAAACTAAAAAAATGTTGGTACTTTATCAAAAAAAGGAACAAAGACAATTTATTTCACTAAACATAATGGAGAATCCTAAATAACAAAAGTATACAGCCCTTTGTCTACATTCTATTCATAAAACTAATGATTATAGGTAGGTTGTATATGTAGAGGCGTCTAGCTAATACGTGCATTTACTTACTGATTCTGTTATAAACGTAAATATTTATAAATATAATAATAACTGAACAAAATTGTTATATTTTTACAAAACAAAGCGTAATTTATTGCCTTCCCCCGATATAAATTGGATCAGAAATATAAATATTTAATAAAGTTCATGTGTATTTAGGGCATTTTTAAACTATTATTTTGTGATTAATTTTTTAAGTATATATATTTTTCAATTAAACAAAATAAATGTTGGGCACATTTGAAAACTATTCTAGAATATAAACTCAAACTACGTCACGAATTACATTGGTCATGTTTTAATAACGTTACAGAATACTTAGTATGTACAGAAATTCACTCTACAAGGTGCTTTAAATAAAAAGGAACTCTCGAATAACTCCAAAATAGTAGGTACTATTTAATATCTAATCTACTTTGCGAGTCGCCGTGATTATTAATTATCGTAAAAGAACGTCTTCAAATTTTTTGTTTACCTTAAACCTTTTGGCCTTCTAAGACCGAGTCCTCTCTATCACTAAAGACATAGAGGTTCAAAAAAGTAAACAAGAAGAGGTGTAAAATGATCACACAGTATATTTAAAACGTGACCAAAGTAAAGCTATTATGATCTATATGATTATAAAATGAGCTTTGAATCAAATTGTAAACTTTCGGTAAACTTTTAAGTTTACCCTTTTCATTTACGAAATTTCATATTACGCAACTTCTAATTAAATTCTACACAATATATTTTCAATAAACTATGACGAGTCGGTTCATATCAATAACAATCGAGCCATTCAAAACTAACTTTGGTCCCTTGCAATCTGGATCAGCAATTTTATATAATCTATAGTATATTTTAGTGGCATCGTCTAATAATTTGATATGGTCACTTGCCAGGCGAGTCTGAAGTTTATTACTTATACAATTAAGAGGTAGTTTGTAATTTCAAGAACCGTATTAACTAGTACTGAAAAATGTATCTTAGGTTAGTTTCTTCTATGTAATGCCTCGTAAGAACCACTGCGTGGGCTGTAAGCTGAGGCGATTGAAATATTGAACTAAATAAATTTGATCATTTAGAGAATTCAAATATAATCAAATCGAGAACGGTACGGCAATCTATTGGAACAGGTTATCTGAATTTGTTTAGACCGCACCGTATATACATAGTACATAGGGTTTACATAACTTATTAAAAAAAAACGGGCTTATAATAGACTACATATGTAAGTAGTAATCTAGACACATGATTGTCAGTCTTAGTATCAGTCCTCTATCACGGATGCACTCTTCAACTAAATGATCTACCTAGTTTAAAGTATTTTCGTACTGCACCGTAATTAAAGCAATTTATAAGAAACTAGTCCGTACACAGCACTGTTGCGCCGTCATTTAGAAATGCACGTCTCTGACATCGGTGGGGGTGGCTGCGTTACTATGTGCCTTGTCCTGGGGCGGCGGGGGGGTCCACCCCGCCGTCTCCCGGAGCTGCCCGTTTGGGACTGTGATGGCTCGCTCCACAATCATGTTTTCTACCATTTGCTCCACTTGTTCAAGGCACGTTTGTAGACAGTCCTGTAAAGTAATTCTTAATTTAGTAATGTGTAATTACCGTGTTCTGCGAAACGCTAGAAGCTAAGTGGTCTCGGACAGTGCTGTATTAGAGGAGTTTCCTCCCGCTTACACATAGATGGTGGAATGAACTACCTGCAGAGGTTTTCTCTACAGTACGGGGTTTTTAGGAAGAATATATTAAGGTTTCTTAAGGGTGGGAAACGCGCACAGGACATTCCTGGTGACTCAGGCGTCCATAGGCTACGTTAATCGTCAGATGGGCAGTATGCTTGTTTGCTACCGCCGTAGTATAAAAAATGTAAGATAAATATTATGAGATAAGATATATTTTGTTTATTATGCTACTTTGTAGCATAATAAAGACAACTAAATGACAACAGTTTTGCCTTATTACAGTCGCCAATAACGACCTAGGATGATTTTTGACGGAACATTGTTATTTATGGCTATGATAAAAATGTGGAAATGGTCTAAACGATGTCTCGGGCCCATAGGCATGTATATCAGTGTCAAAATCTTATAGTGACTATATGTACATATTCTATTTATAGTATTTACCAAGTCTATACGCGTAAGTTCCTGTAGCTGTTGCAGGTGACCGTCGAGCCCGAGGCCCCGCAGAGCTGCTGCAATACTGCACGATGCCAGCGTGCTCGCTGAATAAAGCGTAAACTGGTAATCTGTAACAATTCAAAACATTGTTATAAATACTGTATTTACCTAAGTTTAAACAAATATCTACACATTTGTGAACTGTGGATATCATGCTATTTAAGTAAACCTACATACCTAACGAAATAAAAATAAATATAACTTTAACGCGCAAATGAAACTAGGATTCTTTCCTGTTTGTTTTAACAATTACTTCAGAGTCGAGTCGTAATTAGATTTATAATTAACAGAGTATTTAAGCATATACCTATATTCATGACACGATAATGTGTATGAAACATTGATATATGTTGTATGTACAGTGTACACACATTATGTCTACGTGCTACGCGGGGCCCGTTGGCGTTCGTATATTTTATACCTATCTAAGCGAGCAAGTATAGTTGGAACATATATCCGGTGGGTAAAGAAATGTTCCTTTCTCTCTCCTGCGGAACAACAGTCCCTCTCGGCAGAGTTAACCTCAAAGGAGCCGGCACCCGCCCTCGCGACCGCATTCCATAGCCTGCGCTTGCGCGCCCGATTCACTCAAATATTTCTCAGGGCTTCAGCTAAGTACTTTACATACATCATACATTGTGGGTCCACCTTATTAATATAATAAGGTATCTATTTTATGAATAAGAATGAAAGACAACAAAACCGATGCTAAATGACTTGTGTGTCTTTTGAAGTAATCAAATTATTTCTTATACGATAACTGGGGGCATTATTTTTACCGATAACTTCGTCAATGTTATGAGTTGTGTGACTATATATAAATTAAGTAAAACTATTATACTTACATGAGTAGTAGGATAATAAATAGGTACATAGACTAATGAGAGCCAAAAGTAACAATATCAAACTATGTAAAAATATTACAACAATATTAACACAAAACAAAAATTTTGTAATGACAACAATAAAAATCAAGTTAACAAAAGCATACCAAGAACTACAGAGGCTTGGTTGGAATAGCATATCTGCTGCTTGCAAACAAAAAT